CACACACGACACACACACACACGACACACACACACACACACACACACACACACACACACACACACACACACGACACACACACACACACACACACAACACACACACACACACACACGACACACACACGACACACACGACAACACACGACACACGACACACACACACGACACACACACACGACACACACACACAGACACACAGACACACACACACACACACGACACACACACACACACACACATACACACACGACACACACACGACACACTGACACACACACACACACACACGACACACATGACACACACACGACACACACAAACACACACGACACACACACGACACACACGACACACACACAACACACACTGACACACATAACACACACACACACACACACATGACACACAAACACACAGACACACACAAACACACATAACACACACACACCGACACACACACCGACACACATGACACACAACACACGACACACACACACACACACACACACACACACACACACAACACACACACAACACACGACACGACACACTTCACACGACACACACAACACACACACACACACACACACACAGACACACGACACACACACACACACACGACACATCACGACACACACACACACACACACACAGACACACACGACACACATAACACACACTTCACACGACACACACGACACACACAACACGACACACACTGACACACACACTTCACACGACACACACAACACACACAACACACGACACACACAACACACAACACACATAACATACAACACACGACACACATAACACACGACATACATAACACACGACACACACATGACACACACTTCACACGACACGCACGACACACACAACATGAGACACACACACACACACAACGACACACACAACACACACGAACACACACAACACACATAACACACATAACACACACACACACATAAACAACACAGACACACATTACACAGGACTGAGACCGAGACCAGACCAGACCGCGACCAGAATGGGACTGAGACCGAAACCAGGCCGGGACCAGACCGGGACCAGAGCGGGACTGAGACCGAGACTAGACCGGGACCAGACCAAGACTAAACAGAGCGCCGCTTCCTCTTCTGTGTCGCTGTCGTCAGACTCAGCGTCAGTTCCAGTTAGAATTATTCGGGTCTTTCTGAATCCCGACAGGATGGTTTCGGTGTCACTGAAGTCCAGACTTTGTCCATTCATCCAGTGACATCAGGAAAGTTTCATGGTGCAACCTCAAACTTTCTTTCTGCTGCTCGATTATCGTTTTCAGCTGCAGATTTCAGGACTTGCAGCTTGTGATCTGCAATATTTGTGTTCAGTCTTCTCAGTCGACTTTATAAGTATAAAGTTTAAATGTTAAATTGTTCAGTGGTGCAGAAGTAACGGTGCCATCGACTGACATGATACAGACAGGACAGAGGCTCTTTCTGCAGGAGACATGCGCAGTAGAGCCAAGTGACAGTGGTACAAGAGGAACAGGAGCAGCAGATACTGACACACAAGACTAGAACCTCTCCAAACTTCACTCAAACATTTTAATATAGAAGTCACACCGGAGTATAAGTCACAGAAAACACCCAAATCATGAAAAAAAGTGCCACTTATAGTCCGAAAAATACGGTAAATCAATCAGAAAATGTCTTAAAAGTAGTGAAATTATCTGTCCATGCAGCAAGATAATTTTACTCTTAAAATAAACGACCTCTAGACTAGAATTAAACATCCCAGAACTATTAAATCGATAATAAATCAGAAAACAAGACGAATAAGCTGATATAACTTTTAAAATCTTGGCCAGATCAGAGAATTTTGCAGTGCAACACGAGAACTTGCTGCGTGTAAGGTACTACCAGTCAGAAGTCAAGTGAGTGGGCTCGCCTCTCCACAAACCTGACTCTGGAGGAGGGCTTCCTTTTGTTTGTTTCCACTGAAATGTCGTTCCTTTGGCTACAATCTTCCACAGTGCGGCGAAAAACAATCTGTTAATAATCTTAATAATCTCTAGGGAGTGTGGTTTTAATTTTTTTTATTTTCAGGGAATTATGGAGGGACCAGTTACGCAAAAGTTACACAGTGTTGCTTTAAAGTCGCATTTTCATCAGCTAAAAGTAGAACGCACCGACCCAGGAGGAGCTTTTCTTCACAAGCTGGATCAAGTTCACTGAGTATTTCAATCGAGTTCAGAGCCTCAGTTTAAACGTGATTTAATCCATCACAATCAGTGTTGGGGAGTAACAGATTACATGTACCGGAGTTAAGTAATCTGAGTACAAATGATGAGTAACTGTATTCGGTTACAGTTACTGTTTCAGTGAGTGGTAATTAGATTACAGTTACTTTGTTGAAATAAATAGATTACAGGGCGGTAATTTTCCTGTTTTCACATTTTCGGGCTAATATTTCTTTTTTTTTCTTTTTTTTTTTCTTCCGGCAATTCCACTCCGAACACTAAACCAGGACTAAACCAGGACTAAACCAGGACTAAACCAGGACTAAACCAGGTCTAAACCCAGGTCTAAACCTAAACCAGGTCTAAACCAGGTCTAAACCAGGTCTAAACCAGGACTAAACCAGGAAACCAGGACTAAACCAGGACTAAACCAGGACTAAAACCAGGTCTAAACCAGGTCTAAACCAGGTCTAAACCAGGCTAAAACCAGGTCTAAAACCAGGTCTAAACCAGGTCTAAACCAGGACTAAACCAGGTCTAAACCAGGTCTAAACCAGGTCTAAAACCAGGTCTAAACCAGGTCTAAACCAGGACTAAACCAGGACTAAACCAGGACTAAACCAGGTCTAAACCAGGACTAAACCAGGTCTAAAACCAGGTCTAAACCAGGTCTAAACCAGGTCTAAACCAGGTCTAAACCAGGTCTAACCAGGTCTAAAACCAGGACTAAACCAGGACTAAAAACCAGGTCTAAACCAGGTCTTAACCAGTCTAAACCAGGAATAAAACCAGGACTAAACCAGGTCTAAAACCAGGTCTAAACCAGGTCTAAAACAGGTCTAAACCAGGTCTAAAAACCAGGTCTAAACCAGGTCTAAACCAGGTCTAAACCAGGTCTAAACCAGGTCTAAACCAGGTCTAAACCAGGTCTAAACCAGGTCTAAACCAGGTCTAAAAGGTCTAAAACCAGGTCTAAACCAGGTCTAAACCAAGTCTAAAACCAGGTCTAAAACAGGATTTAACAGGACTAAACCATGCTGCGTGGACGTGTCTCCTCCTCTTCTATCAATAATAGTTTTAATTTTGTTCAGTAAAATCTGGGCTTTTCATTTTCTTTTATCAGACAAAACAAAACATTTTATGTGAAGATTTCCTCGTCTTTGCTTCTCTACAACAAGTCAAGTAATCCAAAGTATTCAGATTACATTACTCACTTTATGTGATTTAATGGATTACGTTACAAACTACATTCTGGTGTATGTAATCTGTAATCTGTAGGGGAATACATTTTGTAAGTCACCTTCCCAAAACTGATCACGATGTGCGACGTTAATGTGTTTACGATCAGATAAGAGTCGCTTGAAACTGCAGGCCTGCGTCTAAACCAGCCCAGTGCCCCGACCACAGCCCACATCCTGGTTCTTTACGCCGCGCGGTGTGGCTTTTCCGTTCAACCCATGACAAAGCTCTCCCCCCTTCTCCCCCACACAGGAGCGCCCAACACGGCCGAGCTGAAAATCTGCAGAGTCAACCGCAACTCGGGCAGCTGCAAGGGCGGAGACGAGATCTTCCTCCTCTGCGACAAGGTGCAGAAAGGTGAGTCGGCGGCCGTCTCCGTAAGGTCACGGGTTTTGTTTTTGTTTTGTTTTTTTTCGTTCTTTCATTATGTGCACTGCAGAAAAGTGAGACTACATACTGTTTTACGTCAACATTAACAATGTTTTGACTTAGATTATGTTTTGAGAATAAATCAAAAGGTGCTGTACTTGATTTTTATTGAAAAAACTTAACAAATTTTAGTATTTTAAAGAGTTTGCAGTGGTCCAAAGTTATTCCTGACTTAACTTATCCATTCCTCACCAGGATGACTTTATGAGCGTTTTTCACAACTTTCAGATATCCTAACAAAGCTTTATATTTATTAGGCATGTGCAAAAATATTGAAATGGCGATATATCGTATTGTTTAATGTGATGATGCAGTATCGATATCGTAGGCTGCTGTATCGATATATCACCAAGAATATTTTTTAGAGCTGTAGCGGTACACAAAAATCACGGTTCGGTACGTACCTCCGTTTTGAGGTCACGGTTTGGTTCATTTTCGGTACAGTACGGGAACAAAATGCAAAACCATTCGCGTATTTGTGTGTTTATTAAACCAACAATTAGTTTTAACATTATACAAACGGGAAAATAAAATAAATGCAAAGTGCTGCTTGGTAATACTAATAGGCGAGTTTCATTGTTGACAAAAGCGCGCGTTGCATGCTGGGAATTATTTTGATCGGCGGCAAGAAACACTAATTCAACATGACGGACGGAGCGAGAAAGCACGTAAAGGGCATTGATCCCGGTTATTTATCCACTCTAACGGCAGAGGACCCAAGACCATTTGACCAGAAACTGGTCATAAGCATCGACGGACGACAAATCACCCTTTTCAACCCCGACAAAAGGTGGAACAAACCAAATTTCTGGTCAGAATCACCAACTACCTGGACAAATATTCACTTCAGCGATATCCACAATGACTTAGTGGAAACTCCTGGGCCATTCACAGCAGAAAAGATGATCTTGACGATCTTGATTTTTGATTAGATCTTATTGAAAACATAGAAAAAGGTGTCAGGATCACTACAGACAAGACCGAGACCAAGCGCCAAGACCGACGACCAAGACCGAGACAAGGCCGAGACAAGGCCGAGACAAGACCGAGACAAGGCCGAGACAAGACCGAGACAAGACCGAGACAAGACCGAGACAAGGCCGAGACAAGGCCGAGACAAGGCCGAGACCAGACCCGAGACAAGAGACCAGAGACAAGACCGAGACCAGAGGCCGAGACAAGGCTTCAAGACCGAGACAAGAGACCGAGACAAGACCGAGACAAGACCGAGACAAGAGACAAGACCGAGACAAGACCGAGAGACAAGGACCGAGACAGACCCCGAGACCAAGACCGAGACAAGACCGAGACAAGACCGAGACCAAGCACCTTCAAGTCCAAGAGAAGACCGAGACCAACCGCTATTCAGACCAAGACAAGACCAAGTCCAAATGCGCTCGAGTTCGATATGAGACCAAGACCGTAATAAAAGCAGGTCTCGAGCACTACAACACTACTTTTCGCGGCACACAGAGAGGCAGAGTTAGAGAGACACTGGACTGGAGATCCCTGGTCTATGGACTCGACACATTTTGCTCAAATACATAAATCCAAAAATCACGTACAGGCAGGGTTCCCGCGGTCATGGAAATTGAAAATGTCATTTTCCAGGCCTGAAAAACTCATGGAATTTTAGCATCTCTTTCACGCGACTACAGCGTCATGAGGCTGTTGTGATTATTTCCGAACATCTGCGCCTTTTGTTTAAAAGAGACGACAATAAATGCACTGACAGGATTTAGAATGTTAAAAAAAACTATAATCCCAAACCATAAGGTGAGTGGAAAGAGTTCACATTTCATATTTAAATCTAAATGTCTGATCAATTCTACACTTAAAGGTGCTGTAAAGTCATGGAAACTTCACTTTAGCTCATGTCTCCAGCTCTGTCCAGTTCAAAGTACGAGGTCGTAGTGTTGTGTACCTCTGTAATTGTAGGGTCTGTGTTCCAAATTTAGCACGTTCTCACCTCTGCTACTGGGCGTGTGCGCTGGTGACATCTCGAGGTACACATTTGAGTCAACAGGACATGGTAGTTTCCGCTTACGAAGAGTTTAGAGGAGGTGAAAGCTAACGTGGTTTCGCTCGTGGTTTCTATGTTCCTTTAGAGGAAAATGCCGGCGGTTTTATTTACAGTATTCATCGAAAAAGCAAAGTGAGGCAGCAGCGGTTTAGTGAGCTCAAACATCTGTGTATAGTGTTTGTGTTTGTGTTTGTGTAGTGTTGTCGTGTCTCAGAGCAAGACACTTTGACACCTCGGATGCTTATTTTCATACTATACGTAAGTGGTTTTGATGGTAAAGGCGTCAGGGAGTCTGGCGAGTTTTGTAAGTTTTTTTTGGTTGGGGCTACACCGCCTAGTTGTCGCCATGGAGATGTTGTTTTGCTGATGTTCTGTCAAAATGAGCTCCAGCAGCCTAAATCGACAGCCGTCTATCGATTCACGCCGCCCCCTTGAAATAAGCGACCTTACGTTTTTCCGTTTACAGTTGTTAAGATCCAGTAAACCCAAACCCCAGTTTTACAACAGATTTCTTTGGATCAGAGACATGGGTTTGATGCTGTTTGCACACGGTGATCAAATTTTGTACCTTATCCATCCATTTTTCTTCTGCTTACCTGGGGCCGGGTCGTGGGGGGAGCAGTCTAAGCAGGGACTCCCAGACTTCCTCCACCCCAGACACTTCCTCCAGCTCCACCAGGGGGATCCCGAGGTGTTCCCAGTCCAGTCCAGAAACATAGTCCCTCCAGTGTGTCCTGGAGGTACCCGGAACAGATGCCCGAGCAGCGGCTCTACTCCGAGCTCCTCCCGTGTGACTTTATACCTTAGTTATGTACAATTTCAGCTCATTTATCTGAATCTGCGTAGTTCATTTGGACAGTCGTATTCTGCTCAAATAAACTCTGACTAAAAGGAGCACATATCAACAGGCCAATTTAACCATCGAATAATGTCCCACTGTACAGTCACCATTATTCACTCATTTAGATGAATTTGGGCAGAGGAGCTCATTTCGACAGGCCTGTGTCTTCTATCAGATAAGGCTCCATTATAAAAGAAAAAGAAATGACTGGAAAAAAGGGTTGTCCCGATCTGATCACGTGATCGGAGATCGGTGCCCATCACGTGACTGCGGACTCGATCTGGACTCGGGCATTATGGTCCGATCAGGTATCGGATAAATAATATATATGTATATAACACACAGGACACACAGCACACAAGTTTTTCTCAGGTGCGGGATTTGCTCAGGGGCGTTCAGTTAGTGCGACTGTTGTCCCAGCGTCTGTTGTCCCAGCGTCTGTTGTCCCAGCGTCTGTTGTCCCAGCGTCTGTTGTCCCAGCGTCTGTTGTCTGTTGTACTAGAGACACACTCGCTGGTTAGAAAAGTGAATTAAAAAAAATAAAGTTTTGGACATTTGATTTTTCACAGTAAGTTCAGCCCAAATACTACACGTTGAAATCAATACCCCACACATTCTGGATCTTATTCTTTGCTCTTAGTTCATTTTATAATGTTTTATAGAAGTATCGGATCGGGACTCGGTATCGGCAGATACTCAAAATCAAATGACTCAGACTCGGACTCGGGGGCAAAAAAATGTGATCGAGACATCCCTACTGGAAACACTGAACTCCTTATATTAAATATTCAATATTTTATAATTTATATATATATTATATATATATATATATATATACACTAATAATACATCATTTACATACTACATAATAATTTACAGAGCATTATTCATTAACCCCAGACCCAGTGGTGGTAAACTACTACTGACGGAAGCAAGGTTGCCAATCTGCACCATCGGCCCCTCCGACCGCCACCATCACTCACACACACACCACTTTCATACTAGGCAATGTGGGTGAAGTGTCTTGCCTAAGGACACAGCAATAGTTTTTTGCAAGTGGCGCTTCCCTGTGGAACCTGATTTTCCCAGTGGTCTCCCATCCAAGTACTAACCAGACTTGGACTGCTCCCTGCGCTCTTCCTCAGTGTCAGAGTGATGCTGCTGTGACGTGATTTAAAACAGGTTTTGGCGCCGTCTTCCATCCGGTGGAGGGAGGACGACAGCGCCAGAACCTCAGGAAGACCAAGCGAGGACTCAAACTGTAAAAAGAACCTAATAACATAAATTATTGGACCAAGAGAACCTCACTGGACTGCACAAACTTACCTTTAAAAACTTGCATTCTGACTGTGAGCGGGGTCGCCTCTCCACAGATCTGACCTGTAACTTCTACGTGTCTAGATTTAGACTTTAGTGATACAAAAGGGAAATTACTTGGACCCACAGTAGCTCTCACATCACAATATATCATCATAACAAAGACAAAAATATGAATGGTTATGAAAAAAAACAAAAACATTTCAGAACAACATTTCAAAATCTCCCTGACAAGAAAAGTTACATGTTGGACCTTGAAATATCGGATACTCCCTTATCTCTGTGTGGAGTTTGATGGTTCATAAACAGACCTTGAAGTTGGGCGTTTCCTTTTTCGTTCAGGCAGAAACATGTGCTTTGTGTTTTTGACTTGACTCTCAGGGGAAGAAGCCGAGTGACAGTCGGGTTACGCACTTTGCAGAACAGAGAACGAGATCTGAAGACGTGCAGGGAGAGTCTGTGTTTTCTGTTGCTTTGGTGCGGAGAAAGCTGTAAACAAAGGCGTATCTGATGTGCAGTGGTGGAAGAAGTACTCGGTTTTGTTACTAAAGTAAAAGTACAAATACAAGAGCTAAAAAAAACTAAAAAAAAACAACGAATTGCTGTTGAAGTTTTCTGTCCAGAAGTCATTTAGCGACTAGTACGTTAGTGTTACGGCTCGCGGCCTGGCTCTGTCCCGCCCGGCGCTCCCTGTTTGTTTTTGTACGTGCTGTGTGGTACGTGATCGGTGGGGGTGTGGTCCCGTCGCTGTTGGGCTGACTCGGACGTTCGTCGTGCCCGGTTGGAGGATTGACGTCCCGCTCCTCCAGTCTCCTTCCTACACATCCCCATCGTCGCATCCAATAAAAGTGTCGTGCGCCGGTCGCTCCTGGCGGCTGGATGTCAGTTCCAGTCTCTTTGTTTCACCCTATTGCTACTGTGAATTGTGTGAGACTCTAGGGCACGGGTGTCAAACATACGGCCCGGCGGCCAGATCCGGCCCTCCAAGACCTTTAATCTGGCCCTCGGCTGAGTTTCTACTAAAATATTTGAATTCTATTTTCTATTAAAATCTTGTTAATTTTCTGTGGTGTTTATCACAGCAGCGTCTCCAGCGTCTCTGTACGTGGCCCCTCCCACCAGAGCAGCACAAATGAAGACTTGTCTCTTTCCAAACGCTCTTAAAGGACGATCGTTTTGACTGTTGACCGTGACACCCTCATCAGAAAAATGTCAAAAATGAGAAAAGTGGAGCCGAGTGCAGGATTTCCCAAGAAAAATTGACTTATTCCTATTTACATAAAAGTTAATGTTAAAACTTTGTGTTGAAATTGTATTTTTCTTAAAGTTTCAGGTTGTTCATAATTTTATAATAATTTGTAAAAGAAAGAGTTCATTTGGAATCAGTTGATTTACTTACATTTACTTTATAAACGCCACTTATATTACATCACATTTGGTTTGTGTTACTTTCCTTTGTCCCTAGCACTGGTTTGTAACAGTCTTTAGAGCCTTGTTTTTAGGAGGGTTTTAAAGTTAGTCATTTTATTTATATAGTAACATATTTCACCAAAGTGTTTTACAGCATGAGACGAGTGGCTTGATGCACAAAAGATAAAAGTTAGTTGACTTTGAACTTGACATGTTTAAAGTAAAGCTCATGGGCTGTTGAACACCGTCTTGAAAAAATGGGTTTTTAGGAGGGTCTAAAAGTGAGGTAAAGAGGAATAAATGTGTTTTTAGGAGCAAATGTGTTTTTAGGAGAGTTTTAAAGCGAGGTAAAAAGGAGCAAATGTGTTTTTAGGAGCAAATGTGTTTTTAGGAGGGTTTTAAAGTGAGGTAAAGAGGAGCAAATGTGTTTTTAGGAGGGTTTTAAAGTGAGATAAAGAGGAGCAAATGTGTTTTTAGGAGGGTTTTAAAGTGAGATAAAGAGGAACAAATACAGTTTTTAGGAGGATTTTAAAGTGAGATAAAGAGGTGCAAATGTGTTTTTTATTAGCAAATGTGTTTTTAGGAGATTTTTAAAGTGAGGTAAAGAGGAGCAAATGTGTTTTTAGGAGGGTTTTAAAGTTAGATAAAGAGGAGCAAATGTGTTTTTAGGAGAGTTTTAAAGTGAGGTAAAGAGGAGCAAATGTGTTTTTAGGAGGGTTTTAAAGTGAGATAAAGAGGAGCAAATGTGTTTTTAGGAGGGTTTTAAAGTGAGGTAAAGAGGAGCAAATGTGTTTTTAGGAGCAAATGTGTTTTTAGGAGAGTTTTAAAGTGAGATAAAGAGGAGCAAATGTGTTTTTAGGAGGCAAATGTGTTTTTAGGAGGTTTTAAAGCGAGGTAAAGAGGAGCAAATGTGTTTTTAGGAGAGTTTTAAAGTGAGATAAAGAGGTGCAAATGTGTTTTTAGGAGCAAATGTGTTTTTAGGAGGGTTTTAAAGTGAGGTAAAAAGGAGCAAATGTGTTTTTAGGAGCAAATGTGTTTTTAGGAGGGTTTTAAAGTGAGGTAAAGAGGAGCAAATGTGTTTTTAGGAGGGTTTTAAAGCGAGGTAAAGAGGAGCAAACGTGTTTTTAGGAGCAAATGTGTTTTTAGCAGGGTTTTAAAGTGAGGTAAAGAGGAGCAAATGTGTTTTTAGGAGGGTTTTAAAGCGAGGTAAAGAGGAGCAAATGTGTTTTTAGGAGGGTTTTAAAGCAAGGTAAAGAGGAGCAAACGTGTTTTTAGGAGCAAATGTGTTTTTAGGAGGGTTTTAAAGTGAGGTAAAGAGGAGCAAATGTGTTTTTAGGAGGGTTTTAAGGTAAGGAGGAGCAAATGTGTTTTTAGGAGAGTTTTAAAGTGAGATAAAGAGGAGCAAATGTGTTTTTTAGGAGAGTTTTAAAGTGAGGTAAAGAGGAGCAAATGTGTTTTTAGGAGGGTTTTAAAGCAAGGTAAAGAGGAGCAAATGTGTTTTTAGGAGCAAATGTGTTTTTAGCAGGGTTTTAAAGCGAGGTAAAGAGGAGCACGATCTCAGATGAAGCGGGAGGGCATTCCAGAGTTTAGGGACTACCACTGAGAACACTCTGCTCCGTTGGTTTTCAGATAAGGAATTAATCTCTCCGCAGATTTGATCTTGTAGCTTGGTCTGGTAGTGCGTTCTACTTCGAGGAGATCGACAAGTTTAATTTCATATTGTGAAGCATTTCAAAGTGATTACAGATCCAGGGAGACGAGCAGATGGTGGGACCAGAAAACCAGCTGATATTAGTTTTATTGTCACAGTAAAACTCTGTACGTGTTTCATTGAGAGTTGTGAAATCTGTGAATAATTAGAATGTTCAGAAATGCATGAGGTAAGTGAGGAATAACTTTGGACCTCTGCAAACTGTTTAAAATGAAATAGTTTTGTTTTGCACGTTTTTAAAACAGAAAAAAAAAAAGTAAAGTGGGCCCATATTAAGCTATTTTCTGATTTTAATGTTCTAATGTCGTTTCCTGATCTCAAACAGACCCGGAGTTGTGTTTTTGTTTCATTCACACAAGTTTAACACACAAAACCTTGCAGATTTAGGTTCTTAGTTCTTCTCTCAAACGAAAACACTCCATTCCACCTTGTGATGTCATGTAGTAACGCATGAAGTCTCCACTGTGCGTCTTTATAAACACTATGAAATACACATGCTACGGTCAAATAATTAACCACCCTTTTACATTAAATAAAAACAATATTACACAAAATGTTCTCTTGTGAGCTCTTAGTCATTTTGTTATATAAATATGCTGATACTTCATCAAAAACACACACAGAGAAGTTGTGGATTCATTCAGTCTACGTCTCATGCTCTGTTCCACCTGGTGATGTCATGTCTAAACGTAAAGGGATTTTGAGAGTTACCGTATTTTTGGGGCTATAAGTCGCTCCGGAGTATAAGTCACACCAGCCAAAAAATGCGTAAATGAAGAAGAAAAAAACATATAAGTCGCACTTTTTGGGGGAAATTTATTTGGTAAAATCAGAGACCAGTAATAACAACAGAAGAGAGAACAACAGACTGTTAACGTCACATATTTCACAGTTCTTCAGATAAACTATAACATAAACAACAGAACAGAACAAGTTTACCAAACTCTCCATCTCACTCCAAATCACTAAATCCATTCAGTTCTTCATCCTCGGTGTCACTTCTGAGTAACTCGGCCTCGACCTGCGGAGGTAAACAGAGCGCTGCTTCCTCTTCTGCGTCGCTGTCGTCAGACTCTGCATCAGTTCCAGTTTATTTAGAATTATTTTGGCCTTTCTGAATCCCGACAGGATGGTTTCAGTTGTCTTTATAAGTTTAAATGTTAAATTGTTCAGTGGTGCAGAAGTAACGGTGCGATCGACTGACGTGATACAGACAGAACAGAGGCTCTTTCTGCAGGAGACATGCGCAGTAGAGCGAAGTGACGGTGGTACAGGAGGAACAGGAGCAGCAGATACTCAAACACAAGACTCTAGAGCCTCTCACCGCTTCAGTGTGAACATTTTAATATAGAAGTCGCAGGAAACACCCAAAACATGAAAAAAGTGCCACTTATAGTCCGAAAAATACGGTACTCAAACATGTGTGAATGAAACAAACCACAGCTTCAGATATGTTCATTGTAGAGAGCCATCCAACCCAATATTTGCTCAACTTAAAGTGTTGAAAATGCAGGATATTATTGACTTAAGTTTCCTCAAAGTCACGTATAAAGCAAAGTGCAATGTATTACCTGTAAATATTCAAAGACTGTTTGAGATGAGAACGAGCCACTACAATTTAAAAGGAACCTACATGTTTTAAAAAACCCAGATTAAGAACCGAGGTTATGGAGCGAAGCGTCGCTGTGAAAGGAGTTCACTTATGGAAGAGTCTTGACAAAGAAATAAAAGAATCAAGTACAATGATGACATTTAAAAAAACACATAAAATCGAATGCAGTGTGTATGTATGAAAACGAAAACTAAATTGTTGTGCATAATAATGAAGATTTACTGTTTGCAATTGATCAGTAATTGTGCCTGAACTGATATGGAACATTTAGTGACCATCGGTGTTGATGTATTGTTTTGAAAAAGGAAAAGGGGGGCAGATAACATAAGATTTTTTCTTGTGTGTCTGATGTTGTGACACTGTTCATATCTTTTTATGCTTTATGAATGAAATAAATAAATATGTTTTTTGAGGAGGTAACAACATTCTAACGTGGCTTCAAGCTCAGAAGAGTCAACTTTGCGGAAGATAAGACCTTTTAATAATGGATCTTTTTCTCGTGCTTCCAGAGGACATCGAGGTGCGCTTCTTCCAGGACGCGTGGGAGGGGAAGGGCACGTTCTCCCAGGCCGACGTGCACAGACAGGTGGCCATAGTGTTCCGGACGCCGCCGTACCGCGACACCAACCTCTCCAAACCCGTCAGCGTCAAGATGCAGCTCAGGAGGCCGTCCGACAAGGAGGTCAGCGAGCCCATGGACTTCCAGTACCTGCCCCAGGACCCAGGTATGAGACACTCGGCGCAGAGGCACACACTGAAGAGACACAAACGAGCTTCGATAATTATTCATTTTATCTCTAGAAAAATGTAAATATTAAAAGCTCAAAGGAATCGTGGAGGCTACTCAGCTACATGGAGACTAATATACCATAACACGGTTGTTTTAAGTCCAAAAAGCACATTCAAAACCCAAGAATCTGTGAAATTATTAAGAACTTTGTGGCTTATAAAGATTCTGAATTTAAAAAAAAAATCTAATTATAGGTCTTGAAGTGATGAGTTACCACAGAGCCAGCTTTGTAACTTTATTTTGTTTTGTTTTATAGAAAAGTTCAAATATTAAGAGTCGTGCTGTCAAGCGATTAAAAAAAATTGAGAGATTAATTCATGATGATCTGTAATTAATTAATCTCTTTTTTTAATCTCACCTAAAAATTGCTGAGAAAAGCCTTCAACGTGATGTATTTTCATTTGAATTCATTATTACATTATTTCAGTGTTGGGAAGGTGACTTTTAAAATGTAATCCCCTACAGATTACAGATTACACACCCCAAAATGTAGTTTGTAACGTAATCCATAAAGTTACTTAAAGTGAGTAATGTAATCTAAATACTTTGGATTACTTGATTTGCTGTAGAGAAGCAAAGACGAGGAAATCTACACATAAGATGTTTTGTCTGATAAAAGAAAATAAAAAGCCCAAACTTTACTTAAACAAATTAAAAAATATTATTGATAGAAGAAGAGACACGTCCACACGGCATGATTTAGTCCTGTTAAATTCTGTTTTAGTCCTGGTTTAGTCTTGGTTTAGACCTGGTTTAGTCCTGCTTTAGTCCTGGTTTTAATCCTGGTTTTAATCCTGGTTTTAGTCCTGGTTTAGACCTGGTTTTAGTCCTGGTTTTAGTTCTGGTTTAAGCCTGGTTTAGTTCTGGTTTAGATCTAGTTTAGACCTGGATTTAGATGTGGTGTAGACCTGATTTGGACCTGGGTTTGGACCTGGGTTTAGACCTGGTTTAGATCTGGTTTAGACCTGGTTTAGTCTTGGTTTACTCTTGGTTTAGACCTGATTGAGTCCTGATTTAATCCTGGTTTAGACCTGGTTTTAGTCCTCATTTTAATCCTGATTTAGTCCTGGTTTAGATCTAGTTTAGACCTGGTTTTGGTCCTGGTTTTAGTCCTGGTTTAGACCTGGTTTTAGTCCTGGTTTAAGCCTGGTTTAAGCCTGGTTTAGTTCTGGTTTAGATCTAGTTTAGACCTGGATTTAGATGTGGTTTAGACCTGATTTGGACCTGGTTTGGACCTGGGTTTAGACCTGGTTTAGACCTGGTTTAGACCTGGTTTAGACCTGGTTTAGACCTGGTTTAGTCTTGGTTTACTCCTGGTTTAGACCTAATTTAGTCCTGATTTAGTCCTGGTTTAGTCCTGGTTTAGATCTAGTTTAGACCTGGATTTAGATGTGGTTTAGACCTGGTTTAGTCCTGGTTTAGATCTAGTTTAGACCTGGATTTAGATGTGGTTTAGACCTGGTTTAGTGTCCGGCAATAAGTGGAATTATCGAAAGAAAAAAAAAAAGGGGTATAGCCCAAAATGTGAAAACAGGAAAATACAGTGGTGTAATCCATTTATTTCAGCAAAGTAACTGTAATCCAATTACCACTCACTGAAACAGTAACTGTAACCGAATACAGTTACTTATAATTTGTACTCTGATTACATAACTCCAGTACATGTAATCTGTTACTCCCCAACAATGCATTATTTTCATACTATCATTAACGTTTTTATATAAGTATCATCATTATTACTGTTACTAATCTGCATAAATAAACTCAACTTTACAACATATAAACATAAACATTCTAGAGCCACATCAGCCCGTTTGACATTAGAATGTGTTTAATGCAGATTTGTGTAAGTCTCACAGAAACGAAACTTAAAACCGCATGGCTCATTTACATAAACTAAACGGAGAAAAAAAAAAAAAAACGCTCTTGTGTCGCTGATGCGGTTCAGTTTCTACTAAAGGACACGACTCAGTGGAATATAGATGTTGATGCTGAGGGTGAGTCTGTTCTGTGTCTGTGTCGCGATGTTTTCAGAGATCAGACGTGTGCAGGTTTATCGCAGATGCGGCGAGAACGGGAATGAAAATTACAATTCTTTGCGGGAGCGAGCGGAGCAGGACTGCACAGTGCGAGACCGTGACCACACAACGCATAAAAACAGATTTTATAATAAGACAACTCGCGAACAGAAACAGTGAAGTTAGAGATTAAAAATGAGATTAACGCGATTAAATAACACAACGCGCTAAATATGACTGTAATTAATTCACCGCAGTCAACACGATAATTTGACACCTCTACTTATGAGTTCAAAAGGCTAATATTCATAACACGGTTGTTTTAAGTCCAAAAAGCACATTTAAAACCCAAGATTCTGTGAAATTATTAAGAACTTTGTGGTTTATGAAGGTTCAGAATTAAAATATACATATAAAAAGTTACATGAAAGAAGAAAGAATGACATGGTTTTGAAGTCAGTAGTTCCCACAGATTAGCCATGACTAAGCTTTCAAACATTAATATTTTTTTCCAGAAAGTTTAAAGTTAATGGGAAATGTACTTCTGGAGACAGGGAGTTGGCGGTTACGGTTCATCTACAGAGGTATTTCCCATGAATTTCATAATTATGAGGAAATTGAACTGCTGCCATAGCAAATAACAAATGAAAAAAAAAAAAAAAAAAAAATCTTCTGTCATACACACAATGTAAAAAAAAAAAAGTGCTTAGGCATCAGTGTTGGGGAAGTGGTGTTTGCTCGTTACTACTTTAAAAAGTGATCCCTTACTTTACTTAGTTACTCTCTGTGGACTCTGTTGGGCAAGTTACTTTAAAACTGTAATGTGTTATTTATTTATGACTTGTTTCTGTCATTTCAAAGTGATTTGTTACATGACAATATTACTGTGTTTAAAATGTAAAACATGACACGACTATTGCAGCACTTTTAATTAACGCTCACCAAAATAACTGTGAAGATGCTGAACTTTTGCGCCGTATATAGACTGAACCAGGACTAAACTAGGACTAAACTAGGTCTAAACCAGGACTAAACCAGGACTGAACCAGGACTAAACTAGGTCTAAACTAGGCCTAAACCAGGACTGAACCAGGACTAAACTAGGACTAAACTAGGTCTAAACCAGGACTGAACCAGGACTGAACCAGGACTAAACTAGGTCTAAACTAGGCCTAAACCAGGACTGAACCAGGACTAAACTAGGTCTAAACCAGGACTAAACCAGGACTGAACCAGGACTGAACCAGGAGACTGAACCAGGACTAAACCAGGACTAAACTAGGTTTAAACCAGGACTAAACTAGGTTTAAACCAGGACTAAACCAGGACTAAACTAGGTCTAAACTAGGCCTAAACCAGGACTGAACCAGGACTGAACCAGAGCTGAACCAGAGCTGAACCAGGACTAAATTAGGTCTAAACCAGGTCTAAACCAGGACTAAACCAGGACTAAACTAGGTCTAAACTAGGTCTAAACTAGGTCTAAACTAGGCCTAAACCAGGACTGAACCAGGACTGAACCAGGACTGATCCAGGACTAAACCAGGACTAAACCAGGACTGAACCAGAGCTGAACCAGAGCTGAACCAGGACTAAATTAGGTCTAAAACAGGTCTAAACTAGGTCTAAACCAGGACTGAACCAGGACTAAACTAGGTCTAAATTAGGTCTAAACTAGGTCTAAACCAGGACTGAACCAGGACTAAACTAGGTCTAAACCAGGACTAAACCAGGTCTAAACCAGGACTGAACCAGGTCTAAACCAGAACTAAACCAGGACCAAACCAGGACTAATCTTGGACTAGAACTTAGAGAGAACCCCGAGCCCATGGAACAGGATGTCTGCAGGACGCGATTGGGCGTCAGCTGCGATTCGCCCTGTGGAATGCAGAGTTCTGCGTCGGTCCTTTCGCCCGTGGTCACCTGACATTTTTTTGTGAATTTGTATGAAGAAAAACCCACCACTTCAACCCAGGTTAAAAAACATTGTGACGCGCGTTACTGACATTTGTGCTGATTAAAACATTACACATTTTTTTCCGTGTAATGCCGAACATTATTGCGTTACAGCAAAAAGCAACGCAGTACAGTAATTTGTTACTTTTATAACTCGTTACTCCCAACACTGTTAATGGAAAATAACTTTTTATGTTACTCGCTACTTTTTGGTGGTAAAGTCTATCTGAGGTTAGTTAAATATCGGCAAGAACCATAAGGTAAAGTTGAAAAGAACTTTGAAGAGAGAGTTCAGGAGGACGTGAAACCGTTAAGAGTTAAACGGGTGGGGTCCGCGCAGTCTGCCGGGGGGATTCGACTCGGCGGGTGAAGGACGACTTCCCGCGTGTCGTTGGGCGTCGCCGAGCAAACTTCCCTCCGGCCGCTTTACACCGCCTCCTCCGCTGTGGGATCAGTGCCAAGTGTCAACCGGGGCGGACCAAATTCTCTATTATTTTTATCCGAAAAAAGTAGTTATGTTACTGTTACGCGTTACAACACTGATCGCCATGTTTCAGAAGTGTGGAGAATCCATGTGGCTGGGGAAGGTCAAGGTTAAAAAAATGTCAGTCTTCTTCACCCACCCCTTATCCCTGCCCACAGCACTGTACCGACTTGGATTTATTAAAACCTGTAGACTGCAGGTCACTAAGGCTACGTTCAGACTGCAGCCTGAAGTGACCCAAATCAAATTTTTTGGCCTCTATGTTCCTGTATCTGATCTTTTAATGACAGTCTGAACGACACAGATCCGATTTTTTTCAAATGTGACCGAGGACACTTGGATATGTGCTCCTGAAACTGATACATATCTGATCTTTTGACATGCGACTTCAGTCTGAACGGCCAAAGCGCATTCATCCACCTACACGTTATCAACAAGACACAAACGTCACTATTCTGCGCTGAAGTAGGCGAAAATTGTTAATGAACTCCGTGTCACTGAAGCGAAGCACATCACCACTCACCACTCTTGGCTCCGTCTCCACATCCACACGTCCCTTTCAACGGTCTGTCCCACAAAACACCACGACCAAAAACCTCGTCCTTCTCCTTCTCAATCTCCTCCTTAAAACAAGTAAGTTGTTCATGTTCTGGCTCCGGTACGAGAGGAACTTTAAAATCTCCAGGTGCTCGATGCTGCGTCCATGTTTGGACAACTTCCGTAAACACAGAGACGCTCGCTGCGGTTGACGTCGTCGTGTCTCCAGTGTCACATGCGGGACACTTTCGGGCCGTTTAATGTTCACACTGGAGTCACATACAAGTCGCATTTAACTGGAAATGTGAACGACCTCGAAAAAACATCAGATTTCACAAAAAAATCGGAATTGAGCGTTAAGCCCTGCAGTCTGAACGTAGCCTTACAGTTGAAAAATGATGTGAAAAACTTTACTACAGTGACCCTTCTGAGGGGTCGGGGTCAGATCTGCAGTTTTGAACAGGAAGTCATCAATCCTGTTTTTATTACTAACCCATTTTAAATCATTATTACAGTGTACAATGAACAAATGGTAAAAAATAAGGCTCTATGCATGTTCTAGTTTATTACCAGAGTCAAACTAAAAGAAACCATCTTCTTAAGTCTTGTATTGTTGACTGTTTGTGTGCAGATGAGTTCAGAGTGAGCGTGAAGAGGAAGTGCACGGCCGACATCTTCCAGAGTCTCAAAAGCTCTTCTCTGTCTTCAGGTCAGTGTGCTTTATTTAACTCGACTGTTTCTATTTATGAAACGCTGACCTTTGCTCGGTGCACAGAAGAGTCTCTCTTTATATCTGAATAAACATGTTCTTTATCTTCGTTGCAGTGACCATCCCACCAGAGCGGAGACAGATCACCATCCCCAGGAGAACGGTCAAACCCCAGACCATGAACCCACCGCCAGGTCAGAGCTCAGACTTTATGTTTAAACTGTAATGGTCTAGAACAGGGGTGTCCAAACTTTTTTCATCAAGGGCCACATGTCTAAACACAGATGAAGCAGATCAAGGGCCGTAGACTGATGCTCATAACAGTGAATCATTAAAATATGTGCATGTTTAACACGTTAAAATGAGCCATCAGTCTTTATTCATGCTAAGATCCTTAAAACTACACACTAAACATTAAATATTGGCTTTATCAAGGTAGATTTTCAAAAAACTTGCAATAAAAAGTCAATTTTTCATTGATGCACGGTAATTTGGGCCAATTCTCCTGGAAGCCTGAGGGCCAAGAAAAATTTGTCTGAGGGCCACATTTGGCTCCCGGGCCATAGTTTGGACATGCCTGGTCTAGAATGTTCCACAGTAGGGCATTAAACTTAGGGCGCACTCACACTAGGACTTTAGAACTGTGCCGTGCTCAAGCGTGATTGCGTAGAGTTCTATGTTCCACACTCACACCGGCTCATCTGGACCACGGCGCGATGACGTCATCACACGGCGCTGTTTGTTTACATGTACTAACAGTTTTAGTGGAGAAAATATCTATTAGCAGGAGAAATATCTATTAAACAGTGAGTCTGAGGTGCGTCCTTTTATGAAACGTGCTCCTCCGTGAGTTTATGGAGATAAAAACAGCGCGGACGAGAGGCAGATAAACTTCTGTCTCTCCTTATGGAAGGTGAGCGCGGATTTGAGTTTATTCACTGTTTTCCTCGCGTTAGTAACATCAGAGCCCCATCGGTGCGGCGCCTGAGCACGGTTCGATTGCGCTCACATTGTGGCAGCCTCTGCTTGATTACTCGCCCGGTGATCTCACTGTCATCATACAGAGAGGTGCAGGCTCAGTGTTGTGGCGGGCGGTTGGTCTGCTTGTTTGACCGGGTCAGTGTGTCTTGCTTGATTGGTTAATATGTATGTAATGAGAAAAACTCAAACACATGCTCAGACTGCTCTTTGTTTGTTTTGTTTTGTGTGTTGTGTTAAAATGTTGAAAACTTAAAGGTTGTATAGAGGATTTTCCAAGGAACGAGAAATCCAGCGACTGTTTGTCCTTTTTCAAATGTTGCGCATGCGTGAAACCCCCCCCCCTAAGTTTTCAGACATAGGATATCGCATTCGTGTCCTGAAAAAGGTGTGTCTAACTCTTGGAAATAAAGTACGTTTTCATAAGCAGAAGTTTCCTGTCCAGGAGTAATTTGTGGACCAGTGCGTCAGTCTTTAGACTCTGCGTCTGCTTCAGTCGCGCCATCGCTGGAATGAATCCACAAGAATCACCTTAGTTTGGTTTCGCTGCTTTTCCCCTTGTCTCCTTCTTTCAGCGACCTCAAAAACTGACTTTCTTTTGTGGCGAACTGCTCCTGGATTCTTGTCGCCATTGCAACAAACTTTGTGCGCACTGCGAGGAAGATATAGGTAAAAAAAGCCGCTAAGAACTGTTGCGTTGGTGGAGTAAACAGCGTCTGTGCGTCTTGCGTCTGTGGACTGCGTGACAGTCGTATGTAAACCACGTACCGGCGGCGCAGGCAAGTCAGTTACACTAGAAACGTAGGGAGATTTGATTGACAGCCTGTCAGCTCACAGATAACGAGGCAGTGTCGTTATCTATTGGCAAATGTTTAGCCCCACCACGTCCAGAGTTGATGAATTTTTATTCTCTTTTTTTTGGTCATCATAATTACAAGGCTACTGCATCTCTATAATCTATCATTGACAATTTGAAACAAAAAAACCCCAAAAAAATCCTCCATACAACCTTTAATAAAATATGTTTAAAAAAATAAATAAATAATAACGACCCTGTTTAATTCTCTTCTCCATTGTCTCCTTTAGAGGTGGCGCCCCCTGCTGTTGCCTCCCTCCGACCGCAGCCGTCCTACTACCCCCAGCCCTCTCAGCTCTTCCAGCACCAGCCCAAAGTGGAGCCGTCCCCGTCCCTCGCCTCCATCTCCACCGGCAACCTGCCCTGGAAGATCGAGAGCCTGACCCTGTCCAGTCACCCCAAAGCCACCCCCGTGACCCTCCCGCCCTTCGCCCCGAGCCAGCCGGCGGCCAGCGCGCCCCAACCCCACCCCCCCTCCTCCTCCTCCTCCTCCACCGCCGCCGCCCAGGATTACTCCACCGTCAACATCGCCGACCTCCACGAATTCTTCCCCAACTTCTCCACCGCCATGGGCCTGGAACCCCCGCCGTCCTCCCAGCCCCCGTCCTCCTCGTCGTCCTCCCAGATGCCGAGCTCGCAGTACCACGTGGAGGCCGACTACGAAGACTTCCCGAGCTTTTCCGACGCGCAGGACGGCGGGACCTTGGAGAGCCTCAACATGGACGACTTTGTGGACCTGGTCAACCCCGTCAACCGCCTGCAGGTGAGCGAGGGCGGCGCGGGCCAGGCCGGGTGTCACCAGCTGGCCAACGCGGCGAGCGCCCAGCACAGCACGGCGGAGGGGAACCCGGGCAGCGCGTGGATGGACTACCCCACAAGCATAACGGACTTGCTCAATAACGAAAACATGATTGACACTTTAGGTACCGGCAACAACGGCGTACCGCACCAGGAGATCGGCGAGTTCGATGGGTTTATGTCCACGGACGATGAGCGGCTTATTTCAATATTTAACAGCTAAGAATTCTCAGTTTTTTTAATTTTTAAGTTTGTCACAATGTCGTATTACAACTTACAGACTCACTATATATTAAAAAATGATAATAAGACATTGTAAAAGTGCATTATAAGAGCTGACAGTTTATGTAGCAAGCACGTTATGCATTTTAGGGCCGGGTGATAAAGCGTGAATTGGTCTGAAAAACACAATAAAAACGTAATTCCTTCATCAGAAACTTTTTTTTTGTACAAAAATGTATTTTTGTAATAAACACAGCGAACTGTAGCGAAAATGCAGTGTCATACGCCGCACCTCGAGAAAGTCCAAAGGAATGTGACCCGGCCGTTCAGACTGAAGTCACGTGTCAAAGGATCGGACGTGTATCGGTTTCAGGAGCACATATCCAAATGTCCTGGGTCGCATTTGAAAAAAAATCAGATCTGTCATCAAAAAAAAATCATACAGGAGCATAGGGGCGAAAAAATTGGGGATTTGGGTCATTTCAGCTGCAGCCTGAAGTGACCCAAATCTGATTTTTTGGCTTCTATGTTCCTGTATCTGATCTTTTAATGACGACACAGATCCGATTTTTTCAAATGTGACCCAGGACACTTGGATATGTGCTCCTGAAACTGATACATATCTGATCTTTTGACATTTGCGACTTCAGTGTGAACGGCCAAAGTGCATTCATCCACCTACACGTTATCAACAAGACACAAACGTCACTATTCTGCGCTGAAGTAGGCGAAAATTGTTAATGAACTCCGTGTCACTGAAGTGAAGCACATCACCACTCACCACTCTTGGCTCCGTCTCCACATCCACACGTTCCTTTCAACGGACGTCGCTGCCGCTGTCCCACAAAACACCACGACCAAAAACCTCGTCCTTCTCCTTCTCAATCTCCTCCTTAAAACAAGTAAGTTGTTCATGTTCTGGCTCCGGTACGAGAGGAACTTTAAAATCTCCAGGTGCTCGATGCTGCGTCCATGTTTGGACAACTTCTGTAAACACAGAGACGCTCGCTGCGGTTGACGTCGTCGTGTCTCCAGTGTCACATGTGGGACACTTTTTTTAATGTTCACACTGGAGTCACATACAAGTCGCATTTAACTGGAAACGTGAACGACCTCGCAAAAACATCAGATTTCACAAAAAAATCGGAGTTGAGCGTTAAGCCCTGCAGTCTGAACGTAGCGTGAGACTTTCTTTCACATCATTTGACCGTAGACAGAAGCTGTTGAAGTTTCTGAACATGTAAAAGTCAAACTGCCATAACTGAGTCGCCGACATCTAACGTTAACCAACAGACTCGATTTATTAGCAGGAGCGAGCGATTCCTGACGTTACATTAAACTTTCTCGAGCTTGATATTTTCCCCGACTGTTGAAACTCATTTACAACGGATGTCGGGTGTTGGGAGAACTGAGTCGGATTTATCGATTACCGAAATTCAATAGAATGCGGCAATAGTGCAGCATAAATACATAACCTTGAACTGAATTGAGATTTCAGCGTTTGCATGATTTTATTATCGATAAAAGTCATGTTATAAGAATCTACACTGTGTTATTTTAAAACATAAACCAAAGATGAAATGCATTTTTATACATTTTTTTTTTTTAAATCTATGTTAAACTAATGGAGCTCAACTTCGAAAATCCACCTCACACTTCCCGAACAAAATTTCCCGTTCATTTTTGTCATAGACTTTCCAAAAAAAACTGTATTTTAAAAGTTAGAAAGTTTGCTCAGAGATAATCAGCTACTTGACAACAATAATTTGACATAATTTCAGTTAAAATCTGTTCTGAAACTTTATAAACCTTAAAGTTATTAAAACATTTTGGAGAACCTTGTGTTTTAAAAAGCCTTTTTGGACTTAAAAACACCACAATGTTGATATTCACTGTTGTTGAACTCTTAATATTTGAAAATTTCCAAAACTCTATGGAAAAAAATTAATGGAACATTTTTCATTTTTCTCACAAACTTTACCAAAAAAAAAAAAAAAAAAAAACATTAAAAAATTTCATCAGCTATGTAGTAACGAATTCATTTGACATAATTTCTCTTAAAATCTGCTTCTGAAATTGCAAAGTTATGAAAACATTTTAATGAATCTTGTGTTTTTAAAGACATTTTTGGACTTAAAACCACCACGATATGGATATTAGCTGTGTTTGAACTCTTAATATTTGCAATGTTCCAAAACTCTATGAAAAAAATGACTGGAAAATTTGCTTTTAATAGACCTTTTTGGACTTAAAACCATCACGATATTGATTTTAGCTGTATTTGAACTCTTAATGTTTGAAAATTTCCAAAAATTAATGGAATATTTTTTTTTTTTCTCATAAACTTTATCAAAATCAGCTACGTGGTAACCAATAACCACAATAATTTGACATAATTTCACTTAAAATCAGTTTCTGAAACTTTATAAACCTCAAAGTTATGAAAACATTTTGCAGAATCTTGCATTTTTAAAGACCTTTTTGGACTTAAAACCACCACAATATTGATATTCGCTGTCGTTGAACACCTAATATTTGAAAATTTCCAAAACTCTATGGAAAATGACTGGAAAATTTGCTTCTGGAACCGTCTGGATCGCTCACTGTCGACGTTGAAGCGTTGGAACACGGCCGCTTTTGTCCTTCCTCTTTGACGAAACGGACTTTGCCTTATCAGTTAGAACTTTTACTACCGGTCGTCGTGTTAAATTATTTTATTCCCCAGCCCTAACTGCATGTTTTAGTTCATCGCTTTTGCTCAGTGTCTTGCATCACTTACGCGTTGCCGATTCTTTGCCAAATACGAGATTTCCTCCTCCTCTTCGGATCCTGTGTATCGCAGTGTTGACGGTTTCTTTAACACAAAACAGAGGCTTTAACTGTAAATTGAAATGATTATATTTTGTTCTCAAATGTATATGTTATGGATGAGTTTTACCTACGTGCATTATTGTTTTATTGTTAAGTTTAGTTTTGTTTTTGTTGTTTTGAAGATTAGAAATGATAATGTGATAATGGTGCCTTAAGTCAATTTTGTAAAGACGATATAATGAAGTTTCTATGTAAAAAAAGTCGACGCTCGCGGTCGTAACATTGTACAGAATGTTCACACGTCGAATTAAAGTTGGTTTAAAGTTGGAAAGACTGGATATTGATTTCATGTTTGCGTGTTCATTTTGTTTGTTTTGTTTTTTGTTTTATTATTATTATGAGTCGTCCAAGCTCGTATGTTTAAGGCGTTTTTTATGCATCCGTTAATTTTTTTCATAGACTTTCCCCCCCAAAAAAAAAGTATTTTAAAGGTTTGAAAGTTTGCTCAGAGATAATCAGCTACTTGACCACAATAATTTTACATCATTTCACTTAAAATCTGTTTCTGAAACTTTATAAACCTCAAAGTTATGAAAACATTTTGCAGAATCTTGCATTTTTAAAGACCTTATTGAACTTAAAACCACCACAATATTGATTTTAGCGGTGTTTAAACTCTTAATATTCGAAAATTTCCAAAGCTCTATGGAAAAAAATGAATGGAATATTTAAAATTTTTCTCATAAACTTTACCAAAAAAAAATTATATTAAAAGTTCAAAAGCTTGCTCGGAGATAATCAGCTACTTGACCACAATAATTTGACATAATTTCAGTTAAAATCTTTATAAACCTTAAAGTTATTAAAACATTTTGGAGAACCTTGCGTTTTAAAAAACCTTTTTGGACTTAAAAACACCACAATGTTGATATTCACTGTCGTTGAACTCTTAATATTTGAAAATTTTCCAAAACTCTGGAAAAAATGAATGGAATATTTTTCATTTTTCTCATAAACTTTACCAAAAACTTAAAATATATGTATGTATTAAAAGTTCGAAAGCTTACTTGAAGATAATCGGCTATGAGGTGACAAATTAATTTTACATAATTTCACTTAAAATCTATGTTCATGAAACTTTATTAAAATTTTGAATCTTTGTTTTAAAAGTCTTTTTTGGACTCAAAACCTCCACGATATTGATTTTAGCTGTTTGAACTCTTAATATTAGAAAATTTTACAAAACTCAATGAAAAAAATTTATGGAATATTTTTCATTTTTCTCTTAAACTTTATCTGAAACTTTATAAACTGCAAACTTATGAAAATATTTTGCAGAATCTTGCGTTTTTAAAGATCTTTTTGGATTTAAAAACCACATTGATATGGATATTCGCTGTCATTCAACTCTTAATATTTGAAAATTTCCAAAACACTATGGAAAAAATTAATGGAATATTTTTAATTTTTTTCATGAACTTTACCAAAAGCGGTCTAAACCAGGTCTAAATCAAGTCTAAACCAGGTCTAAACCAGGATTAAACCAGGACTAAACCAGGTCTAAATCAAGTCTAAACCAGGTCTAAACCAGGTCTAAATCAAGTCTAAACCAGGTCTAAAACCAGGACTAAACCAGGTCTAAACCAGTATTAAACCAGGTCTAAAACCAGGACTAAACCAGGTCTAAAACCAGGACTAAACCAGGTCTAAAACCAGGTCTAAAACCAGGTCTAAACCGGGTCTAAACTAGGACTAAAACCAGGTCTAAATCAAGTCTAAACCAGGATTAAATCAGGATTAAACCAGGTCTAAACCAGGACTAAACCAGGACTAAACCAGGTCTAAATCAAGTCTAAACCAGGTCTAAACCAGGATTAAACCAGGACTAAACCAGGTCTAAATCAAGTCTAAACCAGGTCTAAACCAGGATTAAAACAGGTCTAAAGGAAGTCTAAACCAGGTCTAAACCATGTCTAAAACCAGTATTAAACCAGGTCTAAAACCAGGTCTAAACCAGGTCTAAACCATGTCTAAAACCAGTATTAAACCAGGTCTAAAACCAGGACTAAACAAGGTCTAAACCAGGATTAAATCAGGATTAAACCAGGTCTAAACCATGTCTTAAACTGTTTTGGTTTGCATTAGACATTTCAAAATAATATTATTATAAAATAATAATTTCCGAGCACTTTTGCACTGAGGAACACAAGATAAACAGTTTCAGAAGTATCATTTATTTGGCTTTTTTTTCTGTTTTTCTTCTTCTTTTTTTTTTTTTTTTAAATCAAACCAACAAAGCCAAAGGTTATTGTGACATAATCAAACCATCGTCTTCCAGCAGCACATTTTAACAACTGAAAGAAGTCTCATTTTGTTTTTATTAGTACAAATAACTTGTGGAATAACTCGGGTCACTTAAAACGAAAACGAGGCGCTGTTTGACAAAAGGAAGGACTCGGGATACAAAAAAAAAAAAAAAAGCAATTGCCAAAAAAATCAAAATTAAAACGTTGAACTGAAGGATTTTTTTTAGTCTTTAGTCTTTATGAATTCCAAAAGTGTTTAAGTCACTTCCAGATTGGTGACCTTGTTGACGATGTGCGACCGCCGGGGAACGCACTCCAGGTCGAATTTACTCTCGTATATCGTGGGGCAGAGCTTCCAGCGATTGTTCCGGTAGATTCCCAGGTAAGTGTACACGTCCGGCTTGTAGGAGAGCGGACACTTGATCCCGGTGGCGCGTATTACGGAATCCAGCCTCACCACCTCGCCCTCGTCCGTGAAATTCTGGTTGTAGACGCAGATCACGTGCTTTCTGTCCGACTTGGGGTTGAAGGGGCTGACTTTGCACGAGAAGATTTTCCCGTCGCACGTCGCTCTGGCCACGCAGCTCCACGCGTGATCGATCTTGAACCCAGAGTCCAGGTGCATGAGCCACTTCCCCGAGAGCACGTCGTGGTTCAGCGCCAGCTCCTTGATCGTGTCGAAGCTGACGGGGCGTCCGCTGTCCTGAAGCCGCTCCCAGCTCTCCTGCAGACCGTCCACGTCTCCCCTGGCGGGGAAGTGCGTGGGGCCGAGCACGGAGATCCAGCCGACGGGGCTCACGCCGCTCTCCGCGTCGCCGTCCCGGTTCACCTGCGAGGGCCGGTTGCTCTCCAGCCAGTCGTCGAACTCGGATCTGGGGGTCCTGCGCGAGTCGAAGATGATCCAGGGGTCCATGTCGGCGGCCATGGACTCGGCGGCGTACATCTCGGCGGAGAACGTGGAGTCGCCCTCTGCGTCTACGGGACCGTCTTCCTCCTCCATGTCGGGTCAGGGAGAGTCCACAGCTGCACCTGCCGAACAATGGACAATGTTTTTAAGGAAGGCACTCGAAAGTAAATCACAATGGCTGAAATTATTACCGTATTTTCCGGGCTATTAGATGCGCTTTTAAGCCTCAAACCCCATCAAAAAACAACCGTACACCCCACAATCCAGAGCGCCCTGTACACGAATCCACTCAGGTGTCCCAGTACGACTTCAGTAAACTACAAAGCCGCAAAACATGCAGCGCACGCAAACACACATGGAGCAGACAGCGACCGCACAGCGAAACACACCCACAGACGCACTCATCACTCCACGCCGACGAGGAACGGAACGGAGGAACGAACCGAAAAAACGAGCGCGACGTGCCGCTTCTAGACACGACTGAACAACTGAGTCACTGCGAACACGCCGACAATCCGTTGGTCCCAGACACACCCTCCCTACACGCCACAACTGAACAAAGCCCAGAGTCACCGTGAACGAACAAACAAACAAAACCACTCACCCATCACACTGTTGGGTTTCATTTAAAGTCCCACGCGGTTTATTTGTGAAAAAAGTTAGAAAATAGGCCATTTAATGACAGTGCGTTTTATAATCCAGAGCGACTAATAGTGCAGAAAATACGGTAAGTAACATAATGCATTCTCTTCTATTAAGTAAAAATCATTTGTCCCAGTTTTATACAAAAATTATCTCACGTTTCTCTATTTTGGACCAATCTGATCCCCGACAAGAGTAAAAGGAGCAATATATTGTCATTTGTTTAGCTAAAATAGAGAAAACCGTCCTTGAAAATGACCAAAAAGCAGATTATGACTGAAGTCTGCAGCCTGAAGTGACCCAAATCAGATTTTTTCACCCCTATGCTCCTGTATCTGACCTTTTTAATGACAGTTTGAGCAACACAGATCTGATTTTTTCAAATGTGACCCAGGACACTTGGATATGTGCTCCTGAAACCGATACATAGCTGATCTTTTGACATGTGACTTCAGTGTGAACGGTCAGGTCACATTCATCCCACCTACACGTCAGGCTCGGAGTCTCGTCAATGGAGGGAAAGCGAGGTTAGAGGGTTTATTAATATTTGGGGAAAGAAAAGAAATGTCCGAGCGCGGCTACAGACGGTCCTGGCTCCAATGTCAATGAAAAATAAAGAGCCTGAGAGAAAATACAAGGAGGATAAAGACTCAAACAAATGAACACAACGAGCATGTGCTGAACGACCGCAATTCATTCATTTAAAGAAGAATAAACGTTTACATGATCAAAGAATAAATTAAGTCATCTTTAAAATCGGAATAAACCACCCACTTACTTTGGAATTAAGTTTATTTCTGAATATTTCATTAGAAATTAAGTGTTTACATGGTCTGTTTAAAGCGGAATTACTTTTATTCAGAATTTATTTTTTTAAATTCTGAATTAAAGCTTTCATGTCAATGTGGCAACTGACTCATAACTTTAAGGTTTGTCAGAAATAAATCACAATTAGATCTTTTTTCTAAACCTGGAACTAAACCTTGACTAGACCAGGACAAAACAAAGACTAGAACAGAATGAAACCAGGACAAAACTGAGCTCAAACTAGGACCAAATAATGACACTCTAATGACACTTACTCAAATTTAGAAGCACTGTTGGGTAAAGAAGACCTTGTACTGTGTATTAGGTTTCAGAACAATCCAAAAAGAAGCACTGTTACCACAGCGAAACAGTTTCTTCCCACAAGCTGTTAGAAGCTTGAACAACGCACTTTGAACTTGACGTACTTTGACGTAGCACCTTAATGTCGTTCCTTGATCTTTACAGATTGTCAGTGTGTCGACTGTAATGATTAGTGGTTGGTAATAGTGACATTGTGAAACGAGTGCGTCAATAAGAAAACTTTTTCTGCACTTGGCTCATTCATGACGAACATGTGAGTCAGTATAGTCACGTTTTTTGGTCATTTTTAAGCAGATTTTCTGTGTTTTACCTAAACAAATGACAATTTATGCCTCTCTTTATTGTTGGGAGGGATCAAATTGGTCAAAAATAGCGACACATGGGACATTCCTTGTATAAAACTGGGATAAATCAGTGGTTTTATATAAATCTGCTGGGACAGGGGACACAGGACTCAAAACTGGGACTGTCCCGGGTAATTGTGTCTTCCTTGGAGTTTAGGGTGACCAGATTTTCTTCTTAAAAATTGAAGAATCAGCTTTTTGAAAATTCTATGTGAAAAATTAATGGAAATTTTACTTCCAGAACCAGAGCTGACACTGAAGTGAAATAAGCATGTTTAAAAACACAGAAAAAAGTCAGAAATAGGGATGTCTGGTCACCTTAGACAGGTCTCAAATTGGTCAAAAATAGAGACACCTGGGACATTTCTTGTATAAAACTGGAACAAATCACTGGTTTTGTATAAATCTACTGGGACAGTGGACACAGGGCTCAAAACTGGGACTGTCCCAGGTAAATACGGACATCTGGTCACTTGAGAACTGTCCTGTCAGTCTTCCTTGGAGCTTAGGGTGTCCAGATTTTCAAGATTAAAAAAAAAAACTGGGACATTTGGGATAAAACTGTAAAACCAGTGCGTAATTAATGAAAATTGTTATGCAGAGACCATTCAGGACTAACATGAGATAGTATAGCCACATTTTCTTTGTGTTTTGGTCATTTTTAAGCAGCTTTTTTGTATTTTACATAAACAAATGACAATTTATGCCTCTCTTTACTGTTGGCAGGGATCAAATTGGTCAAAAATAGGGACACATGGGACATTTCTTGTATAAAACTGGGACAAATCACTGGTTTTGTATAAATCTGCTGGGACAGGGGGACACAGGGTCAAAACTGAGACTGTCTCTTGTAAACAGAGACATCTGATCACCCCGCACGTGTTTATATCCGTTATTACAACAGGAGACGGAGCAAATGTGCGACACTGCAAACATCTGCAGCTGTTTCAACGTTATAAACCTGTTATTAATATTTGTTCAACGCGCTATTACAGTTATGTCATTAAGCGTAGACTTATTATTGGCTAAAAATAACATCTGATAAGGATTAAGGCTTCACTTTATTAAAACAAACATAAATCTCTGGGACGAACTGTGCACGCTGTGTTTTATTAGCTAGCGAGCGTGATTTGCCCGAGTTTTCCGCGCACCAACTGATCAAATTACACTTTCTGCAAGAGTGAGACGCGAACACAAAACGTTAACAGTTTGGTTTTCCTGTAGATGAAAAGATCGCTGAAGCTTACCGTGTCGAAGGGATAAGTTTGCGCCGTGTTTTGTTGTGTTTTGTTGTGTTTTGTTGCAGCGCCGATTGAGTGAAGGCTGCAGCATGTGTACGCGGAAGTGAGCCCGCGCTGTGATTGGCGGAGATGCGCGCAGACCCGCCTTCTGAGTGGGAATGACCAATCAGAGCGAAGCACACGGTTCCTTCGGCCGGTGCTTCCGCGGGTGCGAGTTTGCTCCACCGCGCCACCTGCTGCCACGGAAGACGATCAACTGTTTACTGCTTAATGTAATTCTTTATATTCTGTTTTAAATATTCTGTTTCTACGACGGAGTATAAGGGTCAAATAAAAAAAAAAAGATGCTGGCGCTACGAGAATAAAATCGTAACATTTTGACATTAAAGTCGTAATATTATGAGAATAAAGTTGAAGCCAGAAAAAGTCGTAATTTTACAAGAATAAAGTCATAATTTTACAGGAATAAAGTCGTAATTTTACGTGAATAAAGTTATAATAAAATCAAAGTCAAAGTGAAAAATGCGGCAGAAGAAGAACCTTGTTTTTCAATATAAAACCAAAAATAAGAAAACAAACAACAATTTTCTTCATTATTTGCGCCTCCGGACTGAACCAGGAATAAACCAGGACTAAACCAGGACTAAACGAAGTCCGAGACCAGACCGGAACTGAGACCAGGACTTAGACAAGGACTGAGTCCGGGACCAAGACTGAGACCGGGATCAGACAAGAACTGAGACCAGGATTAAGACTGGGAACAGGACCAGGACTGAGACTGGGACTGAGACCGGGACCAGACCAGGACTGAAAACGGTTTAGTCCTGTTTTAGCCCGATTCAGTCCTGATTCAGTCCTGGTTTAGTCCTGGTTCAGTCCGTATGCGGTGCAATATTCCCACATCGCATTTTAAAGTCACGGAAACGCCATTTCCCCTTTCCGTGACTTAAACCAGGACTAAACCGTTTTCAGTCCTGGTCTGGTCCCGATCTCAATCCTGGTCTTTCTGGTTTGGTTCCGGACCTGATTTAGTCCTGATTCAGTCCTTGTTCAGTCGAATGAACGAATGAAACACGGATTCTTCTCCTTTCCTCGTTCAGACTTTCCAAGCAGCCGATATTCTCATAATATTAAGACTTTATTTTGACTACGACTTTATTCTCATAAAATTACTACTTTAATGTCGAAATGTTACACTAGCATTATTTTTTATTTTTTTTATCTGACCCTTATACTCCGTCGTATGTTTCCTCTTTTTTTGTCATCATAATTGGTTTTATTGTTCAAACTCAGATTATTTAGGAAGTCAGACAAATGATTTGCCTAAAAATATAGCAAACATTTATATAATTTATGTGTTATTGGTGGTTTAGACTTTGACAAACTTTATTGATCCACAAAGGAAATTATTTGGACACAGCAGCTCACACATCACAATAAAATATAATAACAAAGAGTAAAAATATAAATGGTAAAAAAAAAAGTAGCAAAAGACAAGTGTCAAATAAAATATAATTATATAAATGTAAATGTACAAGTCAAAATAAAATAGTTTTCAGATTCTAGAGTGTGATGATCAGTGTTGGGGAGTAACAGATTACATGTACCGGAGTTATGTAATCAGAGTACAAATGATGAGTAACTGTATTCAGTTACAGTTACTGTTTCAGTGAGTGGTAATTGGATTACAGTTACTTTGTTGAAATAAATGGATTACACAGCGGGATTTTCCTGTTTTCACATTTTGGGCTATATCCCTCTTTTTTTTTTTTTCTAAAACCTGGTCAAAACCAGGACTAAACCAGTTCTAAACCAGGACTAAACCAGGTCTAAACCAGAACTAAGGCAGGACTAAAACCAGGTCTAAACCAGGACTAAACCAGGACTAAACCAGGACTAAAACCAGGTCTAAACCAGGTGTAAACCAGGACTAAACCAGGACTAAACCAGGACTAAACCAGGACTAAACCAGGACCAGGACTAAAACCAGGACTAAAACCAGGTCTAAACCAGGACTAAACCAGGTCTAAACCAGAACTAAGGTAGGTCTAAACCAGGACTAAACCAGGTCTAAACCAGGACTAAACCAGGACTAAACCAGGACTAAACCAGGTCTAAACTAGGACTACACCATGCCGTGCGGACCGTGTCTTTTCCTCTTCTATCAATAATATTTTTAATTTGGTTTAGTAAAGTTTGGACTTTTTTATTTTCTTTTATCAGACAAAACTTCTTATTTTAACATTTCCTCGTCTTTGCTTTCTCTACAGCAAATCAAGTAATCCAAAGTATTCAGATTACATTACTCACTTTAAGTAATTTAATGGATCACGTTACAAACTACATTTACCCAGGACCACGAAAAACTAAAAGTCTGCAGTTGAACCATATTCATTTTTGCTGCTCCTCATCTGTTTTTATTCATGTTGGTCTGTAGAAAGTTATGTTATGTTGTCATCTGAAACCAAGAAATTCTCTTTCTCAGTCTCTTGCTGTTTTTTATTGCTACTTATTTAGAAGTTTATTACCAGTTTTACAGTTTTTACTCTTTGTTATTGTAATATATTGTGACATGTGAGCTGCTGTGTCCAAATAATAATAATAATTTAATTAATAAGGCAGAATAAATCAAACATGTGTGTAATATAGGGCCTTGGTCTAGTCCTGGTTCAGTCCTGGTTCAGTCCTGGTCTAGTCCTGGTTCAGTCCTGGTTCAGTCCTGTTTCAGTCCTGGTTGAGTCCTGGTCTAGTCCTGGTTCAGTCTTGGTTTAGTCCTGGTTCAGTCCTGGTTCAGTCTTGGTTTAGTCCTGGTTCAGTCCTGGTTCAGTCTTGGTGTAGTCCTGGTTCAATCCTGGTTCAGTCCTGGTTCAGTCCTGGTCTAGTCCTGGTTCAGTCCTGGTTCAATCCTGGTTCAGTCCTGGTTCAGTCCTGGTTTAGTCCTGGTTCAATCCTGGTTCAGTCCTGGTCTTGTCCTGGTTCAATCCTGGTCTAGTCCTGGTTCAGTCTTGGTTTAGTCCTGGTTCAGTCCTGGTCTTGTCCTGGTTCAATCCTGGTTCAGTCCTGGTCTTGTCCTGGTTTAATCCTGGTCTAGTCCTAGTTCAGTCTTGGTTTAGTCCTGGTTCAGTCCTGGTCTTGTCCTGGTTCAGTCCTGGTCTAGTCCTGGTCTAGTCCTGGTTCAGTCCTGGTTCAGTCCTGGTTCAATCCTGGTCTAGTCCTGGTCTAATCCTGGTCTAGTCCTGGTCTAGTCCTGGTCTAGTCCCAGTCTCTGACTCTGCTCTCTGTCTCACAGCAGAATGGACCCTGCAGCTGTTCCTCCTCGTGCTGCTCAGGTCCTGCAGGTGCTCCCCTGTCTGAACGAGGCCGGACTGAAGCCGTGGGACTGTGGTCTGTGGGATGAGACCACGATGCCCTCGACCCTCACAGGAATCATCAGGAGTCCAGAGCGCCACCTACAGGCCATCCAGCACATCAAAACTGGAACTGTCCCGGGTAAATACGGACGTCTGGTCACTCGAGAACTGTCCTGTCAGTCTTCCTTGGAGTTTAGGGTGACCAGATTTTCAAAATAAAAAACTGGGACATCCCTGGTTTGGGATAAAACTGTAAAACCAGTGGTAATTAATGAAAATTGTTATGCAGAGACCATTCAGGACTAACATGAATTAGTATAGTCACATTTTCTTTGTGTTTTGGTCGTTTTTTTAACCCTCTCAGGCTCAAATTAATTTTTAGTATCAGGAAAATCTGATATTTGGGGAAAATTATAATATGGGGTAGTAATATACAATTCTGACTTTTCTATCCTTTGTAAACACAATAAGTATTTTGCACTTCTGGCAGGTTGTTTGTGTGTAGCCATTCTTGCACAGTCTGCATTGCCCACGTTTATCAGCATGGATGGGAAAAAAGGCTCCTGAGTTAAAAAAAGCTCATATAATATAGATGTGGAGTAAGTAGGTAATTGGAATTTAGCTGTTGCAAATCTGCAACGCCTGCCTGGAGAGGGTTAAGCAGCTTTTATGTATTTTACCCAAACAAATGACAATTTCTGCCTCTCTTTACTTTTGGCGGGGATCAGATTGGTCAAAAATAGGGATGTTTCTTGTATAAAACTGAGATAAATCAGTGGTTTTGGTTTAATCTGCTGGGACAGGGGACACAGGAGTCAAAACTGAGACTGTCTTGGGTAAATAAGGACGTCTGGTCACTCTAGGACTGTCCTGTGTGTCTTCTTTGGCTTATCGTGACCAGATTTTCTTCTTAATATTTGAAGAATATGCTTTTTTTTATTATAAGTGAAAAATGAATAGAAATTTTACTTCCAGAACCATAGCTGACACTGAAGTGGGCAGGACTGTCGAGTTCCATTATACTGCTAAAACAAACACTTTAAAAACACAGAAAATAAAAAAAAACCTCTTCACAGATCTAGACAGAAATAGGGACGTCTGTTCATCCTACAAAGGTCTCAAATTGGGACATTTCTTGCACAAAACTGAGACAAATCAGTAGTTTTGGTTAAATCTGCTGGGACAGGGGGACACAGGGCTCAAAACTGGGTAAATAACAACGTCTGGTCACTCTAAAACTGTCCTGTGTGTTTTTCTTGGAGTTTAGGGTGACAAGATTTTCTTCTTAATATTAGAAAAATCTGCTTTTTTTTTTTTTTTTTATTATTATAAGTGAAAAATTAATAGAAATTTTACTTCCAGAACCAGAGCTGACTTTGAAATGGCAAAAAAAAAAAAAAAAACACCTTTAAAAACACAGAAAAAAAATCTGAAATATTACATATTACGTCTGGTCATTCAGGTCAGGTCTCACATTGGTCAAAAATAGAGACTTTTTTTTTTTTTTTTTGCACAAATCACTGGTTTTGTTTAAATCTGCTGGGACAGGTGACACGGGGCTCAAAACTGGGACTGTCCCGGGTAAATACGGACGTCTGGTCACTCTGAAACTGTACTGTCAGTTTTCCTTGAAGTTTAAGGTGACCAGATTTTCAAAATAAAAAACTGGGACATCCCTGATTTGGGATAAAACTGTAAAACCAGTGGTAATTAATGAAAATTTTTATGCAGAGACCATTCATGACAAACACGAGTCAGTATAGTCACATTTTCTTTGTGTTTTGGTCATTTTTTAAAGCATAATTTCTGTATTTTACCTAAACAAATGACAATTTATGTCTCCCTTTAATGTTTGCAGGGATCACATTTGTCAAAAACAGGGACATTTCTTGTATAAAACTGAGATAAATCAGTGGTTTTGTATAAATCTGCTGGGACAGGGGACACAGGGCTCAAAACTGGGACTGTCCTGGGTAAATACAAACGTCTGGTCACTCTAGGACTGTCCTGTGTGTTTTTCTTGGAGTTTAGGGTGACCAGATTTTCTTCTTAATATTTGAAAAATCTGCTTTTTTTTTTTTTTTTTTTTTTTTTATTAAATGTGAAAAATGAATAGAAATTTTACTTCCAGAACCAGAGCTGACTTTGAAATGAAAAAAAAAAAAAAAAAAAAAAAGCCACAGAAAAAAATCTGAAATATTACGTCTGGTCATTCAGGTCCGGTCTCAAATTGGCCAAAATAGAGACTTTTTTTTTTTTTTGCACAAATCAGTGGTTTTGTTTAAATCCGCTGGGACAAGGGACACAGGAGTCAAAACTGGGACTGTCCCGGGTAAATAGCAACGTCTGGTCACTCTAAAACTGTCCTGTGTGTTTTTCTTGGAGTTTAGGGTGACCAGATTTTCTTCTTAATATTTGAAAAATCAGCTTTTTTTTATTATATGTGAACAATGAATAGAAATTTTACTTCCAGAACCAGAGCTGACTTTGAATTGGAAAAAAAAAAAACACAGAAAAAAGTCAGAAATAGGGACGTCTGGTCACCTTAGACAGGTCTCAAACTGGACAAAATAGAGACTTTTTTTTTTTTTTTGCACAAATCACTGGTTTTGTTTAAATCTGCTGGGACAGGGGACAAGGGAGTCAAAATGGGACTGTTCCCAGGTAAATAGGAACATCTGATCACACTAAGACTGTCCTGAGTGTCTTCCTTGGAGTTTAGTGTGACCAGATTTTCTTCTTAATATTTGAAAAATCTGCTTTTTTTTTTTTTATTTTTAAATTATATGTGAAAAATGAATGGAAATTTTACTTCCAGAACCAGAGCTGACTTTGAAAAAAAAAAACAAAAAAAAAACAACAGATTTTTCAAATATTAAGAAGAAAATCTGGTCACACTAAATAACAACGTCTGGTCACTCTAGGACTGTCCTGTGTGTTTTTCTTGGAGTTTAGGGTGACCAGATTTTCTTCTTAATATTTGAAAAATCTGCTTTTTTTTTTTTTTTTTATTTATTATATGTGAAAAATGAATGGAAATTTTACTTCCAGAACCAGAGCTGACTTTGAAATGAAAAAAAAAAAAAAAAAAAAAAAAAAACACCTTTAAAACACAGAAAAAAATCTGAAATATTACGTCTGGTCATTCAGGTCAGGTCTAAAATTGGTCAAAAATAGAGACTTTTTTTTTTTTTTTTTTTTTTTTTGCACAAATCTGTATTTTTGTTTCAATCCGCTGGGACAGGGGACACTCCTCCACACTGATGACTCGGGGGCGTGTGGACCCGGTGTCGTCGGACTCGGTGGACTCGGAGGCGGCGCTCGGCTGCAGCGGGAGGAGCTAACTGCTAACTGCTAACTGCTAACTGTTCTCCGGCGTCTGCAGCGGGGCGGACGGGGCTCCAACTACACACCAAAAAAACAACTCTCGACACGTTTAACTATTTTATTTTATTCCCCCCGCGCCGGTCACGTAGCTATGCCCAGCAAAAAGAAGAAATACAACGCCAGGTTCCCCCCGGTAAGTGTAAACCCGATGAACCGGTGCTAACTGGGCTAATGCTAAGACGTGCAACTCAGAGCTAACTTCTCTAGCCGCGGTGCATGCAAACCTAAACAAATTACACCGATTTTATGACGTGCGCTTGTTTTGTGTGTCTGAACGCGTTTGTGCATGAAATATAAACTTAAAGCAACTCTCCCGTGGCTTCTGGTGCGTGTGTGTCCGCCGGGAGCTGCAAACCGAGCAGCCGGACCAGTGTTGTTTTTAGCAACGTGCTAACTCAAACTAATAATTACAGCGGTTTTTAGGGTGAGCAGATGTTCCTATTTTACCCAGTTTTGAGCCCTGTGTCCCCTGTCCCTGCAGATTAAACAAAACCACTGATTTGTCCCAGTTTTGTGCAAGAAAATGTCCCAGGTGTCTCTATTTTTGACCAATTTGAGATCTGTGTAGGATGAACAGATGTCCCTATTTCTGTCTAGATCTGTGAAGAGGTTTTTTATTTATTTTTTAGTCTTTTAGCAGTATAATGAAACTCACATCAGTGTCAGCTCTGGTTCTGGAAGTAAAAATTCTATTCATTTTTCACGTAGAATTTTTAAAAAAAGCAGTTTTGAGCCCCGTGTCCCCTGTCCTAGCAGATTTGTCTCAGTTTTACACAAGAAATGTCCCTGTTTTTAACCAATTTTATACCTGCCAACAGTAAAAAGACTCATAAATTGTCATTTGTTTAGGTAAAATACAGAAAAGCTGCTTAAAAACGACCAAAACACAAAGAAAATGTGACTATACTGACTCATGTTAGTGCCGAATGCAGAACAATTTTCCTTAACTTAACAGTTTTTTTTTTAACCAACCCAAACCAGGGATGTCCCAGGGTTTTATTTTGAAAATCTTGTCACCCTAAACTCCAAGGAAGACACACAGGACAGTTTTAGAGTGACCAGTTGTCGTTATTTTCCCGGGACAGTCCCAGTTTTGAGCCCTGTGTCCCCTGTCCCTGCAGATTTAAACAAAACCACTGATTTGTCTCAGTTTTGTGCAAGAAATGTCCCAGGTGTCTCTATTTTTGACCAATTTGAGATCTGTGTAGGATGAACAGACGTCCCTATTTCTGTCTAGATCTGTGAAGAGGTTTTTTATTTATTTTTTAGTCTTTTAGCAGTATAATGAAACTCACTTCAGTGTCAGCTCTGGTTCTGGAAGTCAAATTTCTTTTCATTTTTCACATAGAATTTTATAAAAACATATTCTTCAAGTATTAAGAAGAAAATCTGGTCACCCTAAGCTCCAAGAAAGACACACTGGACAGTTTTAGAGTGACCAGACATCGTTATTTACCCGGGACAGTCCCAGTTTTGATCCTTGTGTCCCCTGTCCCAGCGGATTTAAACAAAACCAGTGATTTGTCCCAGCTTTATATAAGAAATGACCCTGTTTTTGACCAATTTGATCCCTGCCAACAGTAAAAACACTCATAAATTGTCATTCGTTTTGGTAAAATACAGAAAAGCTGCTTAAAAACGACCAAAACACAAAGAAAATGTGACTATACTGACTCATGTTAGTGCCGAATGCAGAACAATTTTCCTTAATTATACACTCGCTTCACAAATTTTATTTAACCACCCCAAACCAGGGATGTCCCAGGGTTTTATTTTGAAAATCTTGTCACCCTAAACTCCAAGGAAGACACACAGGACAGTTTTAGAGTGACCAGTTGTCGTTATTTTCCCGGGACAGTCCCAGTTTTGAGCCCTGTGTCCCCTGTCCCTGCAGATTTAAACAAAACCACTGATTTGTCCCAGTTTTGTGCAAGAAAATGTCCCAGGTGTCTCTATTTTTGACCAATTTGAGACCTGTGTAGGATGAACAGACGTCCCTATTTCTGTCTAGATCTGTGAAGAGTTTTTTATTTATTTTTTTAGTCTTTTAGCAAAGTTTTGAGCCCTGTGTCCCCTGTCCCAGCAGATTTAAACAAAACCAGTGATTTGTCTCAGTTTTATACACGAAATGTCCCTGTTTTTGACCAGTTTGATCCCTGCCTACAGTAAAAAAGACTCATAAATTGTCATTTGTTTAGGTAAAATACAGAAAAGCTGCTTAAAAATGATCAAAATACAAAGAAAATGTGACTATACTGACTCATGTTAGTGCCGAATGCAGAACATTTTTTTTATTATTATACCAACTCAAACCAGGGATGTCCTAGTTTTTTTATTTTGAAAATCTGGTCACCCGAGGTTCCAAAGAAGACACACAGTATCGTCCTAGAGTGACCAGATGTTTATATTTACCCGGTACAGTCTCAGTTTTGAGCCTGTGTCGACTGTCCCAGTAGATTTAAACAAAACCACTGATTTGTTCAAGTTTTATACAAGAAATATCCCTGGTTTTTGACCAATCTTGATCCCAGCCAACAGTAAAGAGAGGCATAAATTGTCATTTGTTTAGGTGAAATACAGAAAAGCTGCTTAAAAATGACCAAAACACAAAGAAAAAGCGACTATACTGATTCACGTTTTCATCATGAATGGTCTCTGCATAATAATTTTCCTTAATTACAAGCTCGTTTCACAATTTTATTATTACCAACTCTCAAAAACCGAGGGTGTCCCAGTTTTTGATTATGAAAATTTGTTCTGCCTACCTTATTTTACCATAAGCAAAAGGCTATTAATTTCTCACGTACACCTATAGGCATGAATGAAAAGTCAAGATTTTATGTAAATTGCAATTTCAATGTTTGAAATGGACAAATATGCCAACCAAGCCAATGGAATATGATTCTAATATAGAGTGACCAGACGTCCTTGTTTACTCGGGACAGTCCCAGTTTTGAGTCCTGTGTCCCCTGTCGCACCAGATTTATACAAAACCAGAGATTTGTCACAATTTTATACAAAAAATATCTCAGACGTCTCTAATTTTTGACCAATCTGATCACTGCCAACAGTAAAAAGAGACATAAATTGTAATTTGTTTAGGTAAAATTCAGAAAATCTGCTTAAAAACAACCAAAACACAAAGAAAATGTGACTATACTGACTCAAATTTTCGTAATGAACGGACTCTGTGTAACAATTTTCCTTAATTACGCACTCGTTTTACAATTTTATTATTACCAACCACCAAAAAACCGAGGACGTCCCAGTTTTTTAGTTTGAAAATCTGGTCACCCTATATTAATTCCAGCAATTTAATGAGTTTTATCAACTTCCAGCAGATGTTTTTAATGGTTGTTGAGTTTAATCTGCAGAAATAAAGAAGTCTGTCGTTATTTCAAAGACTTTAAACTGTTGCTGTGTTGAAAATGATCTCACTAAATCAAAATCTGAATGAATTTTATCGTTGTTGTTTCAGGCGCGGATTAAGAAGATTATGCAGACGGACGAGGAAATAGGCAAAGTGGCGGCGGCCGTACCTGTTATCATTTGTATCCTTCACGTGCTTCTGTTTTTTTTTTCCTTTTTTAATTTACGAAATATTCTGTGGACATTGTGCCGTTCTGCTGTTCTGCCCAGAGTTTTCTTTAACCGCCGTCGTTTCAGCGAGGGCTCTGGAGCTTTTCCTGGAGTCGCTGCTCACAAAAGCGTGTCACGTCACCCAGTCCAGGAACGCCAAAACCATGACCACGTCTCATCTGTAAGACTCGCGCTTTTCTTTTTTTCTTCTTTTTTTTTTCTTTTTTTTTTGGGTAGAATTTGTGAGGCAATTTACTGACAACTTCTACTACTACTACTACTGCTAGTACTACTGCTACTACTACTACTACTATTACTACTATTCTAGCCTACTACAACTACTGCTACTACTTGTTTTTTCAATACTACTGCAGTTGTTACTATTGCCTCAACTACTACACCAGAAGTGCTACTGCTACTACTACTACTACTACTACTACTACTACCACTACTACTGCTGCTACTACTACTGCTACTACTACTACTACTACTACCACTACTACTACCACTACTACTACCACTGTTGTTGCTGCTACTACTGCTACTACTAATACTACTAATACTACTACTACTACAACAAATACTACTACAAATACTAAAACTATTAATAATAATACTACCACTGTTGCTGCTACTACTGCTACTACTACTGCTACTACTACTACTACTGTTGCTGCTACTACTGCTACTACTGCTACTACTACTACTACTACTACTACTACTACTACTGTTGCTGCTACTACTGCTACTACTGCTACTACTACTACTACTACTACTACTGCTGCTACTACTAACACTACTACTATTAATGCTATTATTACTACTACTACTGCTAGTACTACTGCTACTACTACTACTACTATTACTACTATTCTAGCCTACTACAACTACTGCTACGACTTGTTTTTTCAATACTACTGCAGTTGTTACTATTGCCTCAACTACTACACCAGAAGTGCTACTGCTACTACTACTACTACTAATACTACTAATACTACAACAAATACTACTACAAATACTAATACTATTAATAATAATACTACTACTGTTGCTGCTACTACTGCTACTACTGCTACTACTACTACTACTGTTGCTGCTACTACTGCTACTACTACTACTACTACTACTACTACTACTACTACTACTACTGCTACTACTAACACTACTACTATTAATGCTATTATTACTACTACTACTACTGCTATTACTAATACTATTAATACTACTAATACTACCACTATTGCTGCTACTGCTGCTACTACTCCTCCTCTCGCCTACTACAACTACTGCGACTATTTGTTTTTTCTACTGCAGTTGTTAATATTGCCTCAACTACTACACCAGAAGTATCACTACGACTGCTACTGCTGCTACTGCTGCTACTGCTGCTACTGCTGCTACTGCTGCTACTACTATTACTACTATTAATACTACTACTATTACTACTACTACTACCACTACTGCTACTACTAGTGCTACTGCTACTGCTACTACTACTACTACTACTACCACTACTGCCGCTGCTACTACTACTGCTACTACTACTGCTGTTGCTGCTGCTACTACTAATACTACTGCTACTACAGCTACTGCAGCTACTACAACTACTATTCTAACCTACTACAACAACAACTTTTCATTACTATTGCAGTTGTTATTGTTACCTCAAGTACTACACCAAAAGTATTAATGAAAAATAAAACAAAAGTGTGCGAGCGTGTGACCACAACCGCTGACAATATTTCGGCAATATTCAGTCAATAAAGCATAAATTGAGTAATTAAAACAGGCCTGGAAATGAAGTTCGTGTTGCAAAAGATGTGAATTGACTTTTTTTTTTAAAACCACATCCACAAAATTGCAGAAATGTCGTTTTTTTTAAAAGATTACACTGCAAATTTTATGTTGAATTTGCTTTTTTTCCCAGCTTTTCGATTCATTTTCGTTAGACTACACATTCAGTATTGTAAATTTGCTGATACTTCTCACTTTTAGCATGTTTTTATCGTCGTTCCACATCCCTTAACTCTTAACTAACCGCGTCGTTTGCTGTACAAAGCGTCTGTCTGAAAGCGTGCGCGCATGTTCTGAAGTGTGTGGTGTTGAAACGCTGTGCGCAGGAAGCAGTGCATCGAGCTGGAGCAGCAGTTTGATTTCCTCAAAGACCTGGTGGCCACAGTGCCGGACATGCAGGGGGAAGGAGAGGACAACCACACGGAGGGAGGGGCCGACAGGGTCCCGAAGAGGTACACACAAACACACAAAAAAACACACAAAAACTCACACGGACGTACACACTGGATTCAAAAAGGTGGGTTTATTTAGTTTTCTTGTACCAGAGATGAGGACCCTTTAATGCAGGAGTGTCAAACTCATTTTGGTCCGGGGGTCATGTCCAACCGACTTTGATCCCAAAGTGTCCGGATCAGAAAACTCATGTCATATAAACCCCAAAAAATAACAATAAGTTCAAATATTTGTGCAGAGAAACACAAATCTATTACAGAAATCTTTAATTGATGAACGATCGTCCTTTAAGAGCGTTTGGAAAGAGATAAGTCTTCATTTGTGCTGCTCTGGTGGGAGGGGCCACGTACAGAGACGCTGGAGACGCTGCTGTGATAAACACCACAGAAAAATAACAATATTTTAATAGAAAATATAATTAAAATATTTTAGTAGAAAATCAGCCGAGGACCAGATTAAAGGTCTTGGAGGGTCGGATCTGGCCCCCGGGCCGCATGTTTGACACCTGTGCTTTAATGTATCACGTGATAAATTATTGCAAACAAGCATTTATTCCAGATTCATTTAAGAGGGGATAAAACAAAAATGTTTATATCCATGTATAGGGCTGAGTATCATTCAGAAGTTACCGATACGATACATACCTCGACACATAGGCCACGATACGATACATATCTCGATACAGTGAGCTTTCGGTTCAGTATGATATATTTCAAATCAATTCAATATGGTTCAATAAAAAATAATGTCTAAATCATGTCTGTGATACTAAGTCTTTTTTAACCACTTCTTGTTCAAAGTTCATAAGAAACACAAACATTTTAATCATGAAAACAGTGAATATGTCAAATGTGTCGCATAAATGAGTTTTCTTCTTCAAAACAAGCAACAAAACTGTAAAAGCTGTTGCACTGTAACAAAATAATTTGGTAAAATAAACTAAAAAAATACTCTTGACGATATATCAATACAGCAGCCCACGATATCGATACTGTATCATCACATTAAACGATACGATATATCGATATTTCAATATTTTTGCACACCCCATCTGTGTATCTTTGGTCTTGGAAATCCTAGAAAAGTCATAGTTTTGTAAATTCAAAGAAAGTTTTGGAAAAGTCATGGAATTTTATTATCTCTTTCACAAGTTCTCATGAGACTATTATGATTATTTGAGAACGTCTGCGCCTTTTGTTTAAGAGAAACGACAATAATGACAGTAATGACGACAAACACTGACAGGATTTTGAAAGTTAAACTATAATCCCAAACCATAAGGTGAGTGGAAAGAGTTAACATTTCATATTTGGCTCTAAAAGTCTGATCAGTTCTGCACACATGTAGGTGCCGTAAAGTCATGGAAAATTCACTTTAGGTCATGAAAAAGTCATGGAAAAGTTTTGAAATGTTGTCAGTGATAAAGAGTGGGAACCCTGGAGAGAAGAGTGAAATATGATTTGCTAAACTTAAACTTAAAATGCATTAAGACAGAAGTCGACTAAAGAAACTCTTGGTCGACTATTAAGGGGTCGTAGCAAAAGTTAATAAAACTATTACGTATCTTTACAGTATATATCTGACCCAAAAACTGCGCTGTAAAGTCATGGAAAATTCACTTTACGTCATGAAAAAGTCATGGAAAAGTTTTGAAATTTTGTCAGTGAAAAAGGGTGGTAACCTTATTGTTTTTTTTTTTTTTTTTTGTTTTTTTTTTGTTTTTTTTTTAAAGTTTTCCACAATGTTATGATGTTGTTTCTTCATCAAAAACTTGCCTGAAGAGGTTTTAGATTAGAGTGAGTCCCCTGTCCCAGCAAATTTATCCAAAGCCAGTGATTTGTCCCAGTTTTATACAAAAAATATCCCAGGTGTCCCTATTTTTATTTTTTATTTATTTTTTTGACTGGCAGGTAACAAATTCACAAATGTCAGTTTATGCAGAGCTGGAAAAAAAATAAGTCCAAATTGCAAGTTCCCCACCAGAACAGATCCACTTGTTAAATGGCACAAATTATAATAGATGGAAGAGAGAAAAAAAAAAAACAATAAAAAAAAAACAACAAGACAAAAAAAAAAAACAAACAAACAAAAATAAATAAATAAATAAAATTAAAAACAACCCAAATCCAAACCCCCACCCACCCTGTCACCGCACAGGTAGAATATCTATACCAGGTGTCCCTATTTTTGACAAATTTGATCCTCACCAACAGTCAGAAGAGGGGAATATATTGTCATTTGTTTAGCTAAAATATAGGACAAAAAAAATGCAACAACAATCTCTCAGAGTCTGACTGAAATTAAATTTTCGGCAGCAGCAACAATGAAACATAAAAGTAAAACACCCAAAAGAGCTACGTAATGTGTTCAGCCAGTCCACATTCAATCTGTACTGAAAACGGAGGAACTGGTTGTTTCTTTTGTCTAAAACTGAAGCCAAAGTTGTAAACGGGGTAATGAAGGTGTTGCAGCGTGTCAGTAATGGGCACAGCGCTGTTTGCTGGACAAATGACTCTACTACAGTTTCTCTTTACACCTCATTCTTTTCGTCTACGTGCAGATTGATTTAAGCACTGGAACATGACTGCGCATATTTTATTGTATGAAACCACAAATGCACTCGTGGTTTTCTTACACTGGTTCATGCTACAGTTAAAACAGACTTTACTTTTCTGTTCAGAGACAAACTGGCTCAAATTCCAAAAAAAAAAGAAAAACAAAAGTAAAGTCTAATTGATGAGTGTAATATCTTTTGAATTTTATTTGTAATCTTTTTATTTATTTATAAGATCTAACATCTGGTTTGTGTGGGACTTCTAAATATATTAACAAAAATAGCATTTACAGAAAAGAAAGAAAGAACAAAAACAAAAGACAAACACAACACAAAGATAACATTCACACTGTCCCCACACCTGTATTTGTAAATTATTAAACAAAAAAAATCAACTCTATGTAGAACAGAAAGTACATAAAACAAAGACGTATTTTTATTCTTTGTTGCCAGGGGTCGAAAACCCGGCACTGGGCGCAAGAACGGAGGAGCCGGAGCCAAAGGCAAAGACAAGAAGTTATCGGGCACAGAGTCCGAGCAGGAGGTGGGTCCGTCTCGCTCGCGGCGCCGGCGTGGAGCTGGACACGAGCGTCTCTGTGTGTTTAACTTTATCATATGTCCCACAGGACGAGTCTGAGGACAGTGAGACGGACGCAGACGAGGAGGACGGATCTCAGTCCAGCACAAACCAGCAGCCGGCTGCCAGGTTTCACAGGTACAACTCTCCTGGACTTAACTGTGTCGAGAGGTCGGTTTAATGTGACAATCATTAATAGTGGTTAATTAGTAGCTGGTTAGTCTAAATACAGTTTGCAGTATTCTGTACTTGGACAAGCCCTTTAAAAGAATCCCAGATATGTCCTAAGCTATTTCACTATTACTTTGCACAAATAATCTGTTTAATAACATAACTCCTCAGACCAGACAAAGGTTCATATGGATCCCAATTCTAGGTTGGAAAATTAAATTACATTTGTATGTAAATGTAATTGAAAGCAGTTTAGTTTCTTAAATAATAGAATATGATAAGAATGAAACTGTAGCTTTGTTTGACTGAAAGACCAGACTTTTTTTTTTTTTTAGCCATATGGCCCTGGTCTTATCATAACTATAGACCTTCCTGAATCACAGTGGAACTTCTGGTTAATGGTTTTCTGTGGCAAAATGTGTGTGCAAATGTCTCGTGTTTTCTCCAGCAGCTTCATAAATCTGCCCCATCACCAAATCTTCAACCAACAAGCTCCACAAAGGATAAATATTCTAACATGAAGAATTTATCCACAACTATCAAATGAAGAAAGACAAAAACTTAAAGACGAACGACGACGATGCATTAGTGACACACTGAACAAAATGAACGTTATGATCCTAGAGATGTCTCACATTCAAACTGCACAAATCTCTCCGTCTATATTAATATCAACATCATGAAATCGATTTTTAATTTTGATTGTAGAATCAGTCTGAGTGAACAAGTTACTTCTGTTTTATTCATGATCATAACGTTAGTTTTGTTCAGTGTGTCACTAAAGCGTCGTCGTTGTTCGCCTTTACGTTTTCGCCTTTCTTCCCTTGATAGTTGTGGATAAATTCTTATTGTTAGAATGTTTATCCTTTGTGGACCTTGTTGGTTGAAGATTTGGTGATGGGGCAGATTTATGAAGCTGCTGGAAAATACAACACACATTTATACACACATTTTCCCACAGAAAACCATTAACCGTAAGTTTACCTAAACCTAAAGCGCGGCACTTCCAGCCGTTGTAAAAAAAGATCCATTGTGCAGTTTTGTTTTGGCCTTTACATTTACATCGTGGTTGCTGGTAACAGTTATGGAATTACTTCTACATACGACAAATCTGTAAAATACAAAGTAAATCTATAAACTTCATCACAAAAACACAATGATTTTACCAATGTTTTAGTGGAATAACTCTTCTCACCTGTTTCATGAGCACTGTAAAATTAAAATGGTTTTGTGTAAATTCCTGCCGTGACGTGTCCCTCTGTCCCTCCTGTGCCCCAGCCCTCACGAAGCGGGGATGGTCCACACCGTGGGGCCGGAGTATCCCGTCCACTACCCGCCCCGTCCCCCGACGTTCCACGAGCCGCCCCCGCTGCCCCCCGCCCCGCACGCTGCCGACGACGACGACGAAGACTACGACTCCTAGCTCCGCCGCAAAACGCTACACACGCAGTCTCCGTTTTTTTGGATTCGGTCCAGCAGAGGAGGGGGAAAAAAACAAAACAAAAAAACTTTACACGTATTACCACGCCGAGAAGACCCCGATCTGGCTGTACTTTCTGTGTTTTAATTTTTAACGGCTTTTATTTTATCGTGGAGGAGAATCCAAGCGGTGTTTTTTAGCTACTCTGACTACCGAGCAACTGGTCATTGTTTTTGGCCCCCAGACGAAATAGACGTGGCTTAAATTTTCTTTTTTTTTTTGGCTTTTTTTGGCACTTTTTTATTTTGTAGTCCTCGGATCTGTATGGTTATAGACATCGTATCGCCGCGTGTTGCTCAAACGGCCGAGGTTGCGCTCCCTCTAAAGTGTCCCCTGCGCTTTCCGGCTTTGTCAACGAAGCGTCTGACCGGAGCCGTCTGCGAGATTTAGGTTGGACGGTGGCCCTTAAAGGACAAGTCACATCAGCAAAGCGCAAAACGTAGAGTAAAGATAACGACGGGAGAACTTCATAACGTAAAAGATCAGAAATTAAAACAAGAAAAATGACAAAACGCAAAAGCAAATTCCAATTATTTCGTAAATTGTAAGAGATTTAACAGTAAAAAACACATTCAACGAAATCGGGTCCCAAAATAAACCAAATTGTCGTCACGCTTGGAAGCAAAACCTCAAGCCGTAAACAAATTGGAAATTGTAAATCAAAATTGGAAGATTGTACACTTGTTTTGACCACGTTTTATTTAAAGAGTTCACCGTAGTTTGCAGTTTTGTGCACTGTGATACAAAAGTTTCAGCTACGAAAAGCAAATTTGTACGTTCAGTTCTTTTTTTTCCCCCCAATTTCCTCAGTTTTAATGCATATTTTCAAATTGAACCATAGATTTCTAAGACTTGCTTTGATCCGGCTTTGTTTCTTTTAGTCTACTGTAAAGATAATGAGCGGAGAAATTAAGAACGTAAAAAATCTGAAGTTAATAGAAAAAAATTGACAAAACGCAAAAGCAAATTCTGATCATTTCGTAAATTGTAAGAAATTTAACAGTAATTCGTGATAATTCGTGAAAAAACAACGAAATCGGGTCCAAAAATAAAGTCGCAAATTGTCACTTTACGAAGCAAAACCTCAAGCCGTAAATAAATTGAAAATTGCAAATCAAAATTTAAAGATTGTACTCTTGTTTTGACCTTTTAATACGCACACGTTTCAGTTTGCAGTTTTGTGCACTGTGATTCGATTTGTTTCCAAAGTTTCAGTGCCGTACAGTCCTACGAAAAGCAAAATTGTACAGTTGTTCAGTGCTTTTCTTTTTGCACAATTTCTTCAATTTTAATGCATATTTTCAAATTTAACCATAGATTTCGAGGGCTTGCTTTTGTGATAAAGAAAATAAGAATGTAAAAAAAAATCTGAAATTAAAAGAAGAAAAATGACAAAACACAAAAGCAAATTCCAATTATTTCTTAAATTGTAAGAAATTTAACAGTAAACAACACATACTTGAATCATTCGTGAAAAAACAATGAAATTTGGTCCAAAAATAAAGTTGCAAATTGTCACTCTTGGCAGCAAAACCTCACGCCATAAACAAATTGAAAATTGCAAATCAAAATTGGGAAATTGTACAGTTGTTTTGACCTTTTATACATGCATGTTTTATTTAAAGAGTTAACCGTAGTTTGCAGTTTTGTGCACTGTGATTCGATTTGTTTCCAAAGTTTCAGTGCTGTACAGTCCTACGAAAACCAAAATTGTGCATTCAGTTAATTTTTTTTGCTTAATTTATTCAGTTTTAATGCATATTTTCAAATTTATCCATGGATTTCCAAGATTTGCTTTTGTAATTTTGCGTTTACAAGATGATCCCAGCTTCGTTTCTTTTAGTTTATTGTACATATAACAAGCAGAGAAAATAATAACGTAACAAAAAATCTCAAATTAAAACAAAAAAAAAATTACAAAACGCAAAAGCAAATTCCAATTTACAAAGCAAATTTCTTAAATCGTATAAAATTTAACAGTGAAAAACACAATCATTGAATCAAAAACAACGAAATCGGGTCCAAAAATAAAGTCTCAAACTGTCACTTTACGAAGCAAACCTCAAGTCGTAAACAAATTGAAAATTGCAAATCAAAATTGGAAGATCGTACACTTGTTTTGACCTTTTCATTTCATTTTTTTGCCCAATTTCTTCAGTTTTATTGCGTATTTTCAAACCATTCAAACCAACCATTGATTTCGAAGATTTGCTTTTGTGATCCTGCGTTTACGAGTTAATCCCGGCTTCGTTTCTTTTATTCTACTGTAACTTTGTCATTTCCTCGTTGCGACTTGTCCTCACGGCCGCTTTAAGCTTCTCGTTTTATTCTCGTTTTTATCCAGCCCTGTTTACAACCGTGTTTTTTTTTTTCTTTTTTTCTTTCACGATCTCGTTCCCAGCGGCTTAAACGTACTGCGATAAACGGACCAGGCCTTTGTTTTTAAACCTTCCGTTGTCACTCTCCTCTGTCCCTCGCTCGTCATAAGTTCCCCCCTCGTTTTTTTTAGATTGTTTTAAACGTGTCCAGTGGGGCCCCCCCGACGCCAGAAGATGAAATGTTCCCGCCTAAACAGTCACCTTTGACACTGTAATGTAAAATTTTAGCATTTGTTTTATTTTGTATGGGTGAAATAAAGTCCAATAAAATTTTCCAGATCTTTTGGGTGTGTGTTTGTGTTTGTATATATACATACCTCGATACATAGACCATGATATGATACATACCTCGATACATAAACCACTATACAATGCATATCACGATACATAGACCACGATACTTACCTCGATACAGTGAGCTTTCGATTCGATACAGTATAATACGATATATTTCAAATATTATTTGATATGGTTCAGTAAAAATAAAGGCTAAATCATGATACTAAAAGTCTTTATTTATTTATTAAAGACAGCAGAATATAAGATTTAACCAAATACAATAATCAACATAAAAACAAAACACAAAAACAGAGCAACACTCACAACAAATGCAAAACAACAAAAATGTTGTTTTTTCACACCAACACAAATTTAGTTTGTGTTTGTGCACTGCTAGGCCCCTTACACTGACATTTTGGCCAGTTTATAATTTAAATTCCTTTTCTCCCTCTCTCTCTTCCTTCTTTTTTTTCTCCCTTTTTTAATAAACATTTTTAGACATTAGACATCTTTAGTTTTAGTTAGTACTTAACTCATATGATTTCACTAAAAGTCTTTGTTAAACCATTTCTTATGCAAAGTTCATATGAAACACAAACATTTTAATAATCAAAACAGTGAAAATGTCATATGTGTTGCATATACAAGTTTCCTTCCTCTAAACAAGCAACAAAACTGTAGCTGTAACAAAATAATTTTGTAAAATAAACCAAAAAATAGTCTTGGCGATATATCGATGCAGCAGCCCACGATATGGATCCTGTATCATCACATTAAACCATTGTTTCCCAAAGAGTGGGTCGCAAGAGATTTTCGTCGCATGTAGGTCTGCAATATCGAGTTCTACAGACTGTTTTACTCCAGTATTGCTGGTTCAATTGAATGTTGAAAAGAAACATAAATGTTCTACATTCTACACATGTCCAAATAGGCGCTTATGGATCCTTTTATTGCTGCTTCAACGACTGTTTTTTATTGTTTAAAACTCATACTAATCATTCAGAGAGACACAATCAACAATAAAATATCCTCATTAATGTCCAATAATGCTCAAACACACCTTTATTTTGTGATTTATGAATAATGTCTATTGACTTGGGTCGCGAACGCTTGTGACTTTTAAAATATGAGTCCCCAGAAAAAAAAGTCTGGGAAATACTGTGACATGATATATTACGATATATTTCAAAAACGATTCAATACGGTTCAATAAAAATAACGGCTTAATCATGGCTGTGATACTAAAAGTCTTTGTTAAACCGCTTCTTGTGCAAAATCCATATGAAACACAAACATTTTAATCGTCAAAACAGTGAAAATGCCAAAAGTGTCCCATAAACAAGTTTCCTTCCACTAAACCCGACATGTCAAACTCAGGCCCGGGGGCTAAATTTGGCCTGTGATATAATTGTATTTGGTCTGCGAGAAATTTCTGTTATTATTTTATATTCTGCTTGTTCTGGATTCAGTGTTTAAGCAAAACTATTATTAAACATTTATTTTATTAAGAAAAGGTTTAACATTACACATCTCGAAAGAAGAGAAAATATGCAGATGTTGTTGAAATGTTTTGATAAATATGTAGTTTCGCCCACGACTTAGTCCCAGTTTTTAATTTTGACCTTTTGTGAATTTGAGTTTGACACTCCTGGTGTAAACAAACAACAAAACTGTAGCTCTGTAACAAAAACATTTAGTAAAATAAACCAAAAAAACACCGATAAATCGATACAGTATCATGACATTAAACGGTACGATATGTTGATATTTTGACATTTCCGTAGCAGCCGTTGACCTGATTCTGATTCCACACTCTCTCTCTTTCTTTCTTTCTCTCCTCCCTCTTTCTTTCTGAAGAATAGTTTTCATTATTTCGCGGTTGGTTTTGATTCCCATGACTCACGGAGCCGGTAAAACAAGAGAGCCACTCAGCGCCGTCGCCCCGATCAGATAAGAGCAAGACTGTACAGGTCGCCGTAAACGGAACAACAAATCCACTGTGAGCGAAATGCCTGTTTACACGGACGAGATGCGAGTTTTGTAAATAGACGGACGTAAGCTTTTGTGCTCCATCGATGCGACGGTGATTACGAATGAAAGGAGCGAGTCAAGTGCCGGGCCTCAGATCCAGTTCCTTAAAACAACAACCAACGGAAACATCTCGACCGACTGGAATTATAACCTTTAAGAAACGATCGGCGAACATAAACTATGAGACGGAGTTATTTAAATTGCGGCTTTCGAGCGACGACGTTCTGTAATCCGGCTGAATCTGTGTGTCGTTTGTTCGTTTGTTTTTCAAAATAAAATCAAAAATAAGAAAATTTAAAAAATAAAGCAGCGATTTTCTTCATTATTTGTCTCCAAAACTAAAATAAAAAAACAGATTATGATTTGTTTTTTTTCAGTTTTCGATTTTGTGTTTAAATGAAAAATGGGGGAAAAAAAAAAAAAAAAAGTTTCTCGTTTATGTGACTTAAACTTTAAACTGCGATACCGGACTGAACCAGGACTAAACCAGGTTCAGTTCTGGTCTGGTCCCGGTGTCAGTCCCGGTTTCAGTCCAGGTCCTGTTCACGGTCTCAGTTCTGGTCTCAGTTCTTGGTCTCTGTCCCAGTCTCAGTCCCTGTCTCAGTCCTGATCCTGGTCCCAGTCTGGTCCCGGCCTCAGTTCCGGTCTCAGTCCTGGTCTCAGTCACGGTCGGTCCGGTCTCAATCACGGTCTGGTCCCGGTCTCAGTCCCGGTCTCAATCACGGTCTGGTCCCGGTCTCAGTCCCGGTCTCACTCATGGTCTGGTCCCGGTCTCAATCACGGTCTGGTCCCAGTCTGGTCCCGGTCTGGTCCCTGTCTCAGTCCCGGTCTCAATCACGGTCTGGTCCTGGTCTGGTCCCGGTCTGGTCCCGGGCTCAGTCTTGGTCTCAATCACGGTCTGTTCCTGGTCTGGTCACAGCCTCAGTCCCAGTCTCAATCCTGAGCTGGTCCCGGTCTGGTCCCGGTCTCAATCACGGTCTGGTCCCAGCCTCAGTCCCGGTCTCAGTCCTGGTCTCAGTCCCGGTCTCAGTCCTGGTCTCAGTCCCGGTCTCAGTCCCAGCCCCAGTCCCGGTCTCCGTCCCGGTCTCAGTCCTGGTCTGGTCCTGGTCTGGTCCCGGTCTCAGTCCTGGTCTGGTCCTGGACCTGTTTTAGTCCTGGTTCAGTCCTGGTTTAGTCCTGTTTCAGTCCTGGTTTAGTCCTGATTTATTCCTGGTTCAATCCAGAATCATTATCTGTTTTTTAATTTTGGTTTTGGAGACAAATAATGAAGAAAATTGCTGTTTGTTCATTTTCTTTTTTTTGCTTTTATTTTGAAAAACAAGTGACTGAATGACACACAGATTAACAGTGTCCAAAATAGATATTTTCAGTAAAAGTCAAATTTTTAGCCTTTTTTTTTCACAAATATTAAAATTTTTACATGCTCAAAAGCGTAATTTCTACTTTTTCTATCAACTACTATTTGAGTTTCTATTTTTTTGACAAACCTGATTCAAAAATGTAAGATATAAACACTTAAAACTATCAGAAAATCACTTTACTTGACCAGTTCTCTTAAAATAAACAACCTCTAGACTAGAATCAGAACTCGTAACTTGATAAAAAATCTGAAAACAAGTCGAAAAATGTTACGTAAGTTTTAAAATCTTTGCCAGATCAGAGAAATGTTCAGATTCTCGAGGTCTTTACGGTTCACACGGGTCCAATTGTCACTTGTTCTTTCCGTGTCTGTCTCTGGCCCTGAGAGCGCGTCCGTTCGCCCTGCCCCTTTCCGCTTCCTCTTCTCCGCATTTCGTGTCTTCTTTTTTTTTTTTTTTTTTTTTTTCAAACCCTCCGAGCCTGGGCTAGACCAAAACTCGAAAAAAGAAAAAAAAAAATCAACAACTGCATCCTTCCTGCGTGAGCGTTGACTCAGCGCTGCGCAGGGGCGGCTTCAAACGGGACCTAAAGAGGAGGAAGTGCACTCTTTCCACACAGCGGCCGCCGGGGTCGAGGGTCACCGGACCGTTCCCATCCACTCCCGAAAAAAAACAAAAACGCGGAGGGGGGGGGAGGACGGGAAACGAGACACGCCGGACCGAGTTGCGCGTTGGGTTTGGCGCGGGGTTTTGGAGAGGAAGAGCGGCCAGACGTGTTGAACTTTAACCTACTTTGTGTTTGTGTTGCTCAACTGGAAGTGCACGGAACATTTCTCTGATCTGAACAAGATTTTAAAACTTATATCAAACTTATAGTCATCTTGTTTTTAGAATTATTATCGACTTACTAGTTCTGAGACCGATTAATTGTAGGTTGGTGGTAGTTTATTTTAAGATAACTTGTTAAGTAACATTATCTTGCTGCACGGACAGATAATTTCACTATTTTAAAATAATTTTCTGATAGATTTACGTGTTTATATCTTTAATTTTGAACAAGCTTTTTCGAAAAGTAGAAAATTTGATCCTATTTGTTCACAAAATACAAAAAAATCACTTCTTAAGGTGCAAAAAGTATGTGTACCAAACATCATATTTGTGCTTTTCTTTTTCCAAAAATAATCCCAGCAAAAAGAAAAAAAAATGCAAACATTTAAAATTTATTTTTTTGTGATAAAATTTTTTTTCAAGTGTTATCATTTGCAGTTATACCCAACCTGAAACTCCCTATACATGCATCCCAAATTTTAGACTTCCGGTCATCGCGCAATGCTCACTTTTCCTTCGAAAAAGTGAGCATCAAACCACCATGTTTGTTTTCCCAGTGGGATGTGTCTGTTGTCAAAGTCGATCTTTTCTAGTCTTTTGAACCATATCACTTTTGTTTCTGGTTCTGATATTGTCATATTTTAGTTTTGGGATTCGGACATCGTAATTGTGTGGTTGTTGGATCCTAACAGCGGAAAACGGCTCGAGAAATGTGTTTGCGAACTCCATAAATGCAAAAGGGAATCAGATGTGTGTGACTCAAACCTCCGTTCAAACTGTTTCTCTTC